AAGAAAACCTTCACCCTCGTGAAAAAGTTTGTTGACCTCAAGGTTGAGGATCGTCGAGGGTATGACATTTCCAACTCATGAATCATTCATGTAGATAACACATTCAGATAGCAGAGTTAAAATTGAAATTGAAATCGATATAAGAGACATCTTAAAGCCCACTTAGTCCTGATGGAACCTGGCCAGATGGAATACAGAATCAGTGGGAGGATATACCTTTGAGGGGCTTGCTCCCTCCCACCCCTCTCCCAGAGATCGAGGGTTGTCCCATGACAGAGCAACTTCTACATGTCAGCAGCCGGTTGGAATGCAGTATCACTATCAAAGGCTATCATCATAAGTGAAATGGTCTGATGACTGAGCTCTGTATGCTACTATGCTGGTCATCATGCCACTCAAGAACAAAGAAGCATATCTTAGACGATCATTTAAAGCCTATCTGCACTAGTTGGCCAGGAGGGATTGGACGTCCCTGCATGGTAACTGGCAGGTGGTTATCTCATCAAATCAGCTCTCGATTAACATACAAAAAAGGGCATCATGGGAGATCAACGGGTACCGCTTAGGCATTGTTGTCTATAGAGGGCGCAAGTAGCTACAAGTAGTGCAGTCCCGCTTTAAAGATTTCATTCAGTTCTAACCTGTTACATCAGTAAACACAGCATAAAATGCTGTTAGAGATATCAAATCTTATAAATACTGTATTTCAACATTTGTACTTCTTTTGTTTTTGGTGCACATGCAAAGAGTGGCTACATGTACAATTTCACTTCACCTTCAACATTTATGTTGAGATAACTGTGATGTGCTGGCCATGACAAGGAAAGTGTTTTATTTTATCAATATCAAAAGATTGTCAAAAGTTTGCATCTTCTGATATTTAGCTGAGAGGTTTTAATTCTTATGACATTATGTCCAAGGAAAAAGAGCATGCCATACATTTCCAATTGATATTTAGAGTATACCAATTTCACACAATCCATTTCATCCCAGTATAGCTTCCTGAGTAAGCTGCCAAAGGGATTACCCAACCAAGTACCAAATGATAAACTAAAAATGAAAACTTTTCTGAATGGATATGATTTGGAAAAGTAACATCCAATTGGTTCCGATTTATGCAATATGACGTTGCTTTTATTTCACAAAGAAAATGCCAAATTTCTGGTAATGCTCATTGTAACAGGGGTTGACTGTAATTCCCAGGTACTAGCTAGCACCCCCATCCAGGGCAGTGGATATACTCAGACTGCTGGGTAGAGAGAGAGGGGGTAGAATGACTGAATAGCTAGCTAGCTAGCTAGTCAGCCCGCCTGCGCCTGTGGAGAGAGATTGAATCCAAAATCAGCAATCCAGGGTCAGAAATGAAATTATGCGCGGGGAGCACCTGGGTTTTTTTTCTTCTCACCTCCAATGATTTTCAGAAAATGGCAGATCATTTTTATATCCTGGTGTGTTAAAGCATCAGGGAGCAAGCAGCTATTAGTAACTGTTGCAAGTTGTCACAGACAAATATACATGGAGGTCCCAGTCTCATCTTTCTATTGATTCCCTGTATGTTTTGTTCATGTTTTATAGCCATGAAGGCCTACACTTTTAAGTACATGTAAATTTATTTGATCTAGATTGATGATTCATTTCTCTATCAGGGTGCATGGTCTAAAAGCAAAGATTCAACATGTAAAATTGGAACGTGGGAGGAACTGATGTATTGTATGCAAAGCACAAGGTCCCTTGTGGCCAGGCTCTGTTTAGATGCACTCTGCTGCAATCTGAAACATATTTTAAGACTATAATATCATGAATAATTTTGGTTGAGATTCAATATTATCCTGTCGCTGATTATCAAATCTGTCAAATCAAAATTGAAAGCCGTCGCTGATTGTCAAACCTGAAAATCGAAATTCAAAACCGTCGCTGTTTAATGTTGACTCCCTTTGTGGACCATGCAACCTGCTGTATGCAAATGTTTGTCTTATAATATGGCAAGCTGACGTTAGTTCTGGCAGTATGATGCTTCCGGACTTTGTTTTGTCAAAGAAATGAAGAAATGGGATTAGTGCTTGTATTGCTTTGGGGTTTTAGATCAGGGCCCCATATAACACAAAGGTTTGGGAAGATCAGCTGCACATTTGAAAGAATGAGTCTGATTGGTTGATGGTCAGCCTTGTTAACAGTATGTTCATACAACGAGTATCTTGATTGGCCATTGCCATCTTGCAATTGATTGGGAATGGATTGCACAATATTGTGTTGGCTCAATGCAAGATGAAATTTACAAATTTCATAAGGTCAGACATCACAGGAGCAGGTGTCATTAAATTGTATCATTTTCTCTCTCTCTCTCTCTCTCTCATGTGCTGCCTGTATGAAACATCTTCTTTGATAATTATTTAGGCCAATATGTCTATCTCCCAACAAACCCTTCTCTTGAATCTTCCTAATTATGAATAAAATGTGGGTGATTTTTAAATTTTTGTTTGTACATTCTTTATCCTTCAAAAGTATACAAAGTGATTAGGCCTACATTGTAATATTTGAGTGTTGTCCTCGTAATGTACTTTAATTTGAGGGTATTCAACTTTCAGTCTCTTCACTTGAAGTGGAGTAGGGTTCCCCTGAAATTGTATCGAAAGGCTAGGCTAGGAGACGTTCTAGAGTAATACACGGGGGAGGGGCTTTTATGGGGCTTAGAGCTCTTGCATTCTTTTTATGTATGTGCCTCACTTGAATTCATTTATAGTCATGAAAAGTTGGGGGAAGGGGGTCTCAAAGAAATTTTTGAGGGGTTTGAGCCCCCAGGCCCACTTATGTAACGGAACGCTACTGATAACATGTGACAGTTAATATTGAAAAAAGAAAATGTTAAGACAGAGCTGAGTAAAGCAGATGTCGAAGTCTGAAGTTGACTTGGGTTGACATATGACTCTGTATCGAGGGGTTGGGCAAGGAGATCGAGCTTCAGAACGTTGGATTACCTGTGAAAGTTGTTTTGAGGAAAGCCAGAACTGAGTTAGGCAGATGTCAAAGGAAGTCACAAGCTGCGGGAGGAAATGACCCCAAGGTTGGTCCTGATCCGTGGAACTTCCTTAGTTCAACCGGCTGTGACACTCAGAGAGGGAGGGTTGTGGGAATGGTCAATCCAACAGCCATCTGGCTGATGAGTTCTGGTTCTAACGTAGAGGGGGCTGTTGTGGTGGCGACTCCTCCAGGGAAACGGTGGGTTGGGAGTTTGAGGGCAGGATGATTTATTTTTTGGTGTGGAGGTTTGGGTGGCTAAATGGGGGGGGGGGGGGAGGAAGAGGTGATGATGAGAAGGAGGAGGTGAGGAAAGAGAAAGAGGATGTTGACGATGGTAGTGGTGATGAGGAGGAGGAGGAGGAAAAGGATGAGGAGGAGGAGGATGTTGATGATGATAGTGGTGGTGATGATGAGAAGGAGGAGGTGAGGGAAGAGAAAGAGGATGTTGATGATGGTAGTGGTGATGAGGAGGAGGAGGAGGAAAAGGATGAGGAGGAGGAGGATGTTGATGATGATAGTGGTGGTGATGATGAGAAGGAGGAGGTGAGGGAAGAGAAAGAGGATGTTGATGATGGTAGTGGTGGAGATGAGGAGGAGGAGGAGGAGGAAGGGGACGAGAAGGATGAGGAGGAGGAGGATGTTGATGATGATAGTGGTGGTGATGATGAGAAGGAGGAGGTGAGGGAAGAGAAAGAGGATGTTGATGATGGTAGTGGTGGAGATGAGGAGGAGGAGGAGGAGGAAGGGGACAAGAAGGATGAGGAGGAGGAGGATGTTGATGATGATAGTGGTGATGATGAGGAGGAGGAGGAAGGGAAGGAGGAGGAGAAGGATGACTGATAAACTGTGATGTTGTGAAAGAGTAGGAGAAGGTATATGAAGGAAATGGAACGATGAGGAGGATAGTAGTTATGATGAAGATGATGACAAGGATGACTGTTGTTGTAAAATCACACATTGCAACAGAAAGAGTTTGAGTTTAGAGGCTTGGATGATGATCCTGTGCTGTAGGGCAGGCAGGTAATTCATCCCTGAAGCTCCCTGAACAACAGTGAGTTTGTCACAAGAATGGCCTACACCAACAGGCATCTGCCAGGTGAGCCCTGCTCCTACCCAGGTGATGATCGTTTCCATAGCGACCCATCCTGAATGCAAGACAGTTGACACGTCTAGCATTTCCTAGAGAGAAAGAGCGCAAGCTGGTTATTCTGGAGAGGAAGAGTAGAGACGGGGAGTGAGACGTCAGTGATGATATCAGAGAATACAAAGAGGAAATTAGTCATGGTGTGTGCGAGTAGGATAATATTATGAACGAGGATGATGGTATCGCTGACGATGATGATGATGATTAATCGATTACTAAGAGGATGTTGAAGACATTGATGATGGTACTGCAAGTAGATCATATTGATGTTGACATTAAAAGCCCCTGGGTGATCCTATCTGCAATGATATTTGCAATGACCTCTGGGACAGAATTCCTGTAAATAATGATGAGATGATTGATGATTTCTAGATGATAGAATAGACATGATGTTAATAAATGACATTGATAAGGATGATGTTTATGACATTTAACAGTTATGGCAAGAACAAAAATGGTCACCAATAACTAAATGACCGTTGTAATGTCAATGATTACAAAGAAGTAATAAACGTTACATGGATGTCGTAAAACAAAAGGAATTTCAACAGGAATGATTTTCAGATGTCTATCTCACAGATTTTCTTGCTATTGATCAAAATCTTGCAAGTTGTCTTTAAAATTTGATGCAGTGAAGAAAACTGACATGGACTATGTGGAGCACTAAGAGATTAAGCACTGGTGAAAAAAAGACTTCAAACTATATGAAAATGATGGCATAGAAATTTCAACAGAAAAAGAGATAAGAGCTCCTGTGTAACTATAATAATAATAATAATAATAATAATAAAATAATATATGATGGCTAATCTTGTGTTTATCTTTCCTCTGTTTTCAGGCCACTCATTAAAGATGGTTCTCTTTCATTTGTTTGAGCAATACGGCCTGACCAGACACTTCAAGCTGGACGGCTGTAAGCTCATGAAGAGTTTTGGTAAGTATACCGCCCTCTCCATCTAATCAGTAAACCAATCACCAAGATCCATTTCTACTCTGTGCGCTGGAGTGCCATATTGCAATCCCTGTATGATTTTCATTTTCATTGATATAAATAAGTGTAAGGATGAAGGTATATCATTATTACAAATATGTGTAAGGGGATCAGTGCTTAGTCCGCCATTTGTTAACATGTATCGACTTGACCCTGTTAAATTGTGTTATACCCAAACATTAATTGTTTTAGGTAAGGGGACCATTTTACATGAACCTGGATTAGCATTGTGCAGGTGCCGATCGTTTATTGTCTTGGATTATCTTATTCAAGTGGGGAGTTCTTTTGAATTTGGTCAGATTGTATTATGATCATGCCATACATGTACGTGTGCGTGTACATTCAAATCAACTTATTGTATTAAACATACATGTCTAGCTTGTTTATCAAGTGAGTCTTGACTATTTTGCTTTAAAAATTCTCTTTCTTTTTCACAGAATTGATTGAGGAAGCATACTACAATAAAAGCAAGAACCCGTACCACAATTCTATGCATGCAGCAGATGTTTGCCAAGCTATGCACTGCTATCTACAGGAAGAGAAGGTAAGAATCCCACTGTTAGGATGATGAGGAGGAGGAGGAGGAAGAGGAGGAGGATGGTGATGATGACCATGATGGTGGTGATGGTGGTGGTGGGGGTAGTCTTGATGGTTATGATGGTTATGATGAAGTACAATTCTATGTATGCAGCAGAGATGTATTGTTTTCTATAAGATGAGAAGATAAGAATCATACTCCTGATATCATTATGATGATGATGAAGAGGAGGAGGAGGAGGAGGAAGAGCATGATGATGATGATAATGGATTGATGATGAGGAGGAGGAGGAAGAAGTAAGGATTTTAGTGCCAATCCTCTTCCGTACTCCAAAAATGTGTTGGAAGCTTTGGGTTGCTAAGTTTCTACCATCATATTGTTGAAGCAAACACAAAAGCAGACACATAATCTTCTTCATTAACATCCTCATCACTAGTATCATCATCAACATCATGGCTTTCATCTGGTCTGATGAAAAAAAAGCATCTCATAGCTAGTGATGATATTGATGATGCTCTCTTGTTCATCTCTCTCTGGTTCATCAGAGTTCTTCGTGGGCACACATGAAGATTAACTAAAAGTAAAGTAAGGTGAAAAGCACTCGAGGTGTTGAGAGAGATTACTGCAATAAGACGTGTGGTGACCCTCCGTTTCCTAATGAGTATATGGATCATTTGGAAACAAGAGACGGCTTTATCCGCCATCAGAGCAGCTTTGATGTTTTTCAGCTCCGTCTAATCCTGCCAAATCTAGAACATCCAATTTGCTAGTTTGCCTGGAGATATTTTTCTGTGATATCTGGATTGTATCTTCCATCTCCCATCTCTCTCTCCCTCTCTCTGACCATCTCTTGCTCTCACTCGCTCTCTCTCTCTGTCTCTCTGTCTCTTTCTCTCTCTGTCTCTCTCTGTCTCTCTCTCCATCTCTCTCTCTCTCTCTCTCTGCCTCTCTGTCTGTTTCCCTCCCTCTCTCTCTGTCTCTCTGTCTCTTTCTCTCTCCATCTCTCTCTCACTCTCTCTCTCTCTCTCTGCCTCTCTGTCTGTTTCCCTCCTTCTCTCTGTGTCTCTCTGTGTCTCTCTCTGTCCGTCATTCTTTCCTCACTTTCTACCTGTATTTTGTGTTTTGCCTCTCTCCTCGCTACTCAAGCGGCGTCTTGTTTTTGTAATGAGAATCTACCTGATGACCGTGAATCATGGATGGTGATTTGAAGGCACGTGGTTGGGTTGGGAAGACCCTCTTGACTCACATCCCTTATTGTATTTGATCTGCGAGACTCGGCTGTCATCAAAGATCTCCTCTTGCTCAGTGATGAGATGGGCGTGGGAGGGTGGGAAGGGTGGGTCAAGATGGGTGAGGGCAGGGGGAGGGCGAGGGGAGAGGGCAGGGGGAGGGCGAGGGGAGAGGGCAGGGGGTGAGGGCAGGGGGGCAGGGGGAGATGGGTCTACAAGGGGAGGGTCCTCTTATTGCACTTGATCCATGAGACTTGGCTCTCTTCATGTATCTCCGCTTGCCCAGTGATAAGATGGGTAAAGGGTGAGTGGGTGATGATGGTGATCATGGGAGGGGGTAAGGAAAATGGAAGGCAGTACTGGGAAGGGGATTAAAAGGGGCACGGGAGGGGTGGGTAAGGATGGTTAAGCAAGATTCCCTCAACTAAGATCACATATAACAATAATATAGTAGGTTCTTGTATAGCACTCATGTCCGTCAAACTTGACACTCCTGACGCTCCACATTTATTACCCCCGCATTAGAATGGCTGCCATTGCGGTGCTCTAGCACCTCAAGGAATTAATTCCTGCCAGGAACCCATTTACCTCACCTAGAATAATGTAGATTAATGTAGATTAATATCTTGCCAAAGGAAGTGCAGTTGCATTGATTTGAACCCCATACCCTGTGATTCACTGTCCGGCTACTCATCCACTAGACCATATTACCTCCATATCAATTAAACACTCTGCTGTGTTTCATCGAAACCCTGGTGGTGATGGGCAGTATAAAAATAAGCTAATACAATGTTAAGTAATCTATCATCCCCCTGGGCTACATTCTCCTTAAATCCCCTCATTCTATACTCTTCTCTATTTGTTCCGTCGGTCGAGTCTTCTTCCCTTTACCTTTACGTTGTATGTAATTTGTAGTACAGGGGGTATGTATTATTAATTTATTCATCCTTTTTATGCATTTGATATATGATATGAATGTATTTGAATTATAAATTGTGTATAAGTGGTTTAATTTTATGTCATATGATTCACCTGGATGGAAAGTTTCTTCTTTTGTTTTGGAAGAAGACATTAAATCATCTATTCTATTCTATCTTTTAGTTGCGAGAAGCCTTGAAACCAATAGAGATCATGGGGGCGCTGTTAGGGTCAGCCATGCATGACCTAGATCATCCTGGCGTAAATCAGAAGTACCTCATCAACTCCAAACACCATCTCGCTGAGCTCTACCAGGTCAGTTACTCTCCTTTTACTAATCTTAATCCTAATCCTTAAGTGTAGTCCCACACATGCTCTTCTGACGATTGTTTGGCCATCACTACCCTACACTAACCACATTCATATCTCCAACTCTGAACCAAAGGTTATACCTACTATGTAACCCTATCCCTACACTTCACATAAAACCCTATCACAACCCCTACCTTAACCTAATATTTTTGATAAACATACAATAGGGAAAATGAGAGTATGAAAAACCCTAAGACTTAACCTAACCTGAAACCCTATAACAACCATGACCCGAACCTTATAGATTTGACAAAAAGAAAGCCTGTAGCAAATGATCCCTGAGTAAATGTCAATACACCATTTAACATATACAATCAAACCTGCTCTAGCAGCCACCTGTCTATAATGGTCACCTATATTGCCTCCCTCTAGAAGGAAATGTGTGTTGAAGAACCTGTCCAGAAAGGCCACCTGTCTCTGTATAGTGACCACTTATCATGTTTCCCTTGAGAGGCCTTAAAGATACTATGTCCCTTTTGCAGCCAACCTCAAATTCTGTAGAACTTTGCAGGAATTATGAATATGTCATGTATGTCCTATCTGTGAAATTTAAACGTTAGCAGTGTCCTTATATTCAAATTATGCAAGGAAACCCGTTTACTTGCTAGACTTCACTGTCAGACACTATTGTCAGTATTGAGTGACTGACTGGCTTTTTCTTCTTCTTTGGTAATAACATACATAAAATGAGCTGTAAAGGATTTGTCTACATCAATAAACCACTTCTCGTAATGGCCAAAATTAAACTGATTGAATCTTTGCGCAGCATAAAACGTACAACCATGCGGTACAACGGTCTGAAAATCAAGACTATTACTTATTGACTCTATAGCTCCTAAGTCGATTTGACAACTAATAGTCGTTATTTTCCCACTTAAAGACATTTTCAAGCCCCATTTTTTTAAGGGGAGTTCTAAATTAGTATTATCTTTCAAATGCCATTGGAATGTAACCTTTTCATTTTTTGGCCTGCAAAAGGGACAGAGTACCTTTAATGGACAGATTTGACTGTCTTTTCTTTTTTCTTGTCAGATATAATTAAAGTTTTCATTCCATCAATTGCTTTATCGTTGAGCTTGTATATTAATCAGGTTTCTGTTTCTGGTAGAGAGGACCAGTATACCGGTAATAGAAATTCCCAAGCCAACTCCCAATCTTCCCCTGATGATCATAACAAATATGATGTTATGATGTATACTTCCCTATTAAAGTTTACTTTCTTTTTGTGAAGGTTACTATGTTTACTCAGCATGAAGGAAATGATGTGGCAAAATAATAAATTTGCAGTTTCATATGCCTTGGCTTCACATGACTGTATGTATTGCCCTCTTCAAAAGGCAGTGGCTCTCGTAGCATTCAGGCATATACCAGGCTTCATCCTCGCTGCTATTACATTGCCCATCGTTATACAGCACTGAATGATTCAAATGGAAGTCATTCCTATGAAGTATCCATTTTCTACACCTGGGTTGAGACAGATAGATGTATATAAAATGCCTGATTTATGGCAGTACACATTAAAGCTAGAATGCTCAGTCTTGTCAATAAAAAGCAGTGAAATTCATATACTATGCTGAAATGAAGGGAATTTATATTTTTTAATTTTACCTGACAAGTAAGAATGAAAGTACAGTCATACCTGTTTATCATGGCTACCCAATGAAAACATGATAAGTGGCCACTTTAGACAGGTGGCCTTTCTGGACAGGTTCTTCAACACACATTTCCTTCTAGAGGGGGCAATTACATGGGGTACCACTATAGACAGGTGGCCATTATATAGAGGTGGCTGCTAAAGCAGGTTTGACAGTATATGCTCAAAGATGAGCATTTTTCGGTTAATAAAGATTTATTTACAATCTGTTGTATGAAAAGTCACCATGAAAAGTGTCATGAGTCACAAGAGTCACATGAAGGCATTTATAATGGTAGGTAATTGGTCTTTGATTATGCAACTGTGCGAGAATTTGTCTTTGACAAATGACATTGATATAAAAAATGACATATGACATCATAATCGTTTTGTTTTATTATCAAGTGTCACATTCTAATTTTTCGCTCTCCATGTGTTTTGTTTTAGAATTCCTCAATTCTTGAGAACCATCACTGGCGGGTGGGCATCTCAGTTCTCACAGAAACAGGCCTTCTAGACCATCTACCCCCTGAACAATGGTAAGTCACTTCCCATTGGCTGATTCAGAAGTTGTTCTTAACTTTTTACCAATCAGGGGGGTGTTTCACAAAGATCCTAAGTCGAACTTAAATCTAAGTTGGACTTGAACATTATAGAGAGCAATTTGTAGCCTTAAAATAAAGTATATTCTATTGCAAAATTTCAAGTATTTTAGACTTTTCATTAATTTCACATCAAGAACATGAAATCTCCTTGATAATAGAAAATATGAATTATTTAAATCAACATTTTATGCATTTTAAAATAACGTCTACAAAATATTTCAAAGATGCTAACGGCTTTCCATAATTCTTAGGTCCAAATTAGAGATAAGTTCAACTTAGGATCTTTGTGAAACACCCCCCAGGAGCGTTTCTACATAAATAATGTTTTATCAATTGAAAACTTGTAGGTTTAGTTCACATACTGAACGACTTCAGCATCAGTTTCATTTTTTGCAATGGTATGCCTTTTCCGAAAATTCCTTTACCGTAATCTCTCTTATTTGAACTCCTAGTCCGATAGAAATTACCTCTTATTTCAATTGAAATTACCTGTTATTTCAATTGAAATTACCTGCTAAGTACATTATGAGCATTTTAGAATAGCCTCCCCTCTTAAAAATCAAGCAAGTCATAAGTGTCTCATGATTGAACTTCTCTTATCTCTCCACACAGGAAAATGTTTGTGGATCATATACGATCGCTTATCCTGGCGACTGATATTGCCAGGCAACAAGAGTTCCTTTCTGAATTTCAGGTGAGTTGATTTCTACTGACTTCTCAATCTCAGAGCATTCCCCAAAGGAAGCCATTGTTGCAATGCATTCCAAAAACAGCTATTTTAAAGATAAACAGTTCACCTGAAACAAGGTATTGTAGTTTAAAGTCAAACTGATCATAATTTTACGGCCTTCATTTCTTTTCACATTGGTAAAGAGTTGGTGCCACATTAACATTTGACTTGTTCATTTTCAATATCATTTCTCATTTCGAGAGTACTGTATCTGTCTGCAGTCCATTTAACCAAACTACATTCACCAATCACTTTCTTTTAGTTTTCTGATTATTACTTTGATGTTTGCTATACATGCTGTTGGGAAAAGGGTCCACCATTTTGTGCTTTGATATGGAAAAAGAAAGTTATTTATGATTCTTTTTTTCTTTTCTACAGAATATACTAGAAAGGAGTGACCTGAATCTTAAGAGTCATGAAACTAGGAAATTTATCTTACAAGTAAGTTAACATGGCGATCTACAAAGGTCATGTAGGTAATGATGATATTTGTGGTGATGGTGGTGGTGGTGATGAAAATGATGATGATGATGATGATGACGACGATGATGATGATGATGATGATGATGATGATGATGATGATGATGATGATGATGACGATGATGATGATGACGATGATGATGGTGATGATGATGATGATGGTGGTGGTGATGATGGTGATGATGGTGGTGGTGATGATGGTGATGGTGATGATGATGATGATGATGATGATGATGATGATGGTGGTGGTGGTGATGGTGATGATGATGATGATGATGATGATGATGATAGTGATGGTGATGATGATGATAGTGATGATGATGATGATGATAGTGATGATGGTGGTGGTAATGATGTTGATGGTGATGATGATGATGATGATGATGATGATGATGATGGTGGTGGTGATGGTGATGATGATGATGATGATGATGATGATGATGATGATAGTGATGGTGATGATGATGATAGTGATGATGATGATGATGATGATAGTGATGGTGATGATGATGATAGTGATGATGGTGGTGATGATGATGATGATGGTGATGATGTTGATGGTGATGATGATGATGATGATGATGATAGTGATGGTGATGATGATGATAGTGATGATGATGATGGTGATGATGACGGTGATGATGATGATGGTGATGATGATGATGATGATAGTGATGGTGATGGTGATGATGATAGTGATGATGATGATGGTGAATCTTAATACATTGTACTAAATTATAGAAAAGTAGGATTTATCCATCAACTTCAATATAGGTACTTCCTTTTTTTGTCATTCAGATAGATTCTTCATCACTCATTAACTCTCTCTCTCTCTCTCTCATCCCTGCTTTAGATTGCTCTGAAGTGTGCTGATATCTGTAACCCCTGCCGACCATGGCAGATCACTGAGAAGTGGGGCAATGTGGTGTCCGAAGAGTTCTTCAGACAAGGTAAGAGCTAGCATGAACAGCGCCCTCTGAGTCTTGATTCACTGGTCAGAAGGACGAGTGAACCACTGCCCCAAATGTGCATGTCCAAATGAATTTACAGAACTTGAATTTGATGTTGAACGTTGAACAATTTTTTAAAAAAAATTTGTGTCTAGATGAACGATTGAAAATTCAACCATGATATTGAACTTTTCTCATGATATTTAAGTTGGATACATGCCTTGTAAACTTGCTTGCACCGTGATGGATAAAATGATAGAACTTGATTCCTTGTTTCCCAGACCTCTTTGATAATCCACTTTAATTACAAAAGCACTGTGATACTCCCATCTGTGAAGGATTCAAAACATAATCAAAGATGTTTCAAAATGTTAAGCAAGTTCCCACTGGCCTGACCTCAACTTAAGAGGAAGCAAACACCTTCAAAAACTTTCCTTTTTTTTAATATTTCTTTTTTTAAATAAAAATGGTGTAAAATTATTGTTGATCTCCTTGTACTCCTGATAGGTGACAGAGAAAAGGCTGATGACCTGCCAATCTCCATGAACTGCAATCGACACACAACAACAATTCCACAGATACAATGCGGTAAGTTTGATTGGATTCTATTCTCCCAAGGGTGTCTTGATCCTTTACAGGCTCCGGTCCACCAATGGCACAAACGTTGGACGGCCACAGTGAGCTTTTGTCATAAGTACAGGGTGGCTACCTTCATAGACACCTGTATCATTCACTTTAAATGAATATGGCAGTTCAGGGTTTGCATCCTAGTGATTTAAGAGCTCATGAAACTGAAAAATTCTACGATTGATGTTGATGTCCTCATACCAATGAGCATAAAATGCTCATACCAATGAGCATTTTAACCTTCACAAATTTGATATTCCACTGTCAGCTAGAAAGAAGATAAGGCATGATCTCATTGGTTGGTTAAATTGAATGAATTACTGGTTCCTCTCAACAATGGGTTAAGTTTCTCAATTCTACAAGTTATTTTGATGTCCCAATATTTTCATGCAATTCTTACAGTTACATTTAGCAACTGAATTATTCATATCCCTTAAATGTCAATGTGATGTGTTTTTGTGTTTTTCATAACTCAAAAATGAAAGGTGAACTGGTTGTATTAGGGCCTTTGTTGAATACTTCTAGATGTAAGCTTTAATTTAATCACATCCTCAAGAAACTTATATGGGGACAATTGAATTTGTTTACATACTTTAAAAATTACATAACTTGGTATGGGTATATGAATAATTATATGGGACACATTTTAATGTTGACTACATGGGGATTCCTCTTGGCAAGAGTTTAATTGTGTTGTTTTTTTGTGTTTGCCTTGCAGGGTTCATAGGCTTTGTGGTTGAGCCTCTGTTCAAGAATTGGGCTCGCTTCATGCCCTCGGCCCTCTCCCAGTCAATGCTTCATAACATGAGGGAGAACAAGAAGGTTTGGACGGGAAAGAGAGAGAAAGAGCAGGCAGCTAGCTCAGCCCAAGCCACAGCCCAAGTCCCAGCCCAAGCCACAGCCAAACCAAACAGTGCAATTCAAAGTTCCTTGAGTGAGACGAAGAACTGTCAAGCAGAAGAGAAGGTAACGGAAAGCTCGGTGAAGAGCGCAGATCTTAGAGAACCTGAGCCCAAGACCTTGAAGCTCAGTCCGGCAGCAGAGGAGAAAGTAACAAGTAAAGCAATGGAGAGTGGGAATGTATCACTCACTGGGAAACACAAACATAGTGCAATGCGGGAACCTCGTCACATGGTCCAGGTGCATGCGCATCAGGGACAAGAACGCCCTCACTCTGCAGTGCTTTCACCACCAACGCATCGTGCTCTGAACGTGCACAGAGCGGTCGATGTGACGCTATCAGACTCAAACACAATGGGTGTTCATTCTCACAGCGCAGACAATCTACGTAGTGCCAGCTCGACCACCGCTGTCTCGATGCATTCAGCGTTGGAGGCGAAGCAGAGAGACATTAGGTCACCTAAGGTCAACAAGCGTGTCAAAAGTGCAACGGAGAACATGCTGCAACCTTTTAGTTTACGACTGTCACGCTCTCCGAACACGTTAAGAAAGGAGCTACACTTTGAAGACCCATGGAAAAAGATTGAAAAGTCACCAAAAAGCCCCGTACAAAGCCCGCCACCGTGCATCGAATCGCCTTTACTCCAACGTGCCAGTCACCCCCTCAAAATTAGCCACACATCGCCGGGATTATCGGACAGTAGTGTACGCAATGTGGACACTCATGGCAATAACGCAATAACAAAGCCAGGACACGGCTTCAACAACAACCTGGATTTCTCTATGCCTGTGGATGTGAGATCCACATCGCTTCATCATAACATGTCGCACAACAAGCAGCACGACGGCTCTGAGCCTCTATACTGGCAGGAGAGAGGTCTGCTCATGTACTCTGAACAGAATAGCGTTCCTCAAGGCAACTCCAAGCACTTTATGAAAGCTGCTACGTCGCCCTCTAGCTCGCACCGCCACACCACCAGCAGCAGCAGCATGTTAGAACATAGAACTAAAGCCACACCCTCAAGTCTCTTGGTGAGACCTACGGAAGGGAGAGGGGCTTCCCCCTCGCTGACCCCTTCCACTTCACAGCATGCTAGGATAGAAGGGTATTCATCATCTCTCTTGGTACCTAGTGATTCATCAGGGAAGGATAGACCGAGGGAGAAAGGATCACCATTCATCAGGAAACGCATTGTGGAGAATAAAAGAAAGAAAGACTTGCAAGTGCCAGGTAGGTTCATGTTATGTCAGTCTCAGGTTATGTCACGTTCTAAAGGACATTGTCGGCTTGTCAAGTCAAGGCCCTTTTTTTCACTGTAACAGGGCCAAATAAAGTCTAAAGTCTAGAGGTGTACACAGTACAAGTAAAACACTCTTGGGAGCAAAGGCTCCATGTCTGTAGCTGACACTTCATTTTTACAACTTATTGACTGCAGTGGTGATTTGTTTTATATTGAGACAAGTTTCATTCAATGATAATAATTATGCTAACGATTTTCAATTGGATTATTTAATTTTCTTTCTTTATATGGTAGGAACATTCTATATTTGATGTGATTTTTTGTAAAGACCATATTCCCTCATCTCAATATGCTCTACACACTACACCGGGTAGGATTCATTCCTTGAATGCACTGAGCGCTACTGGTGCCGTAGCTAAAGCCGGGGTAATAATATCCAAAATCCTTTGGAAGCACAGAGACATTGTATCGAAATGTGATTTGCACTATACAAGAAAGGCATATTATTTTTGATATTACACTAATCATAGAGTTTCAATGATTCATAGCATACTCATATTTGATTTTGTTTGCAGTAATCAGTTCTGGGAGTCTATCACCACGGGTGCCGCCGAGAGGCATGCTGAACATCTACGCTCCTACATCACCTCCCGCGGACCACACCCCTACGTCCCCATCGGCCTACTCCGTACCCTCCGCCCTGAGCCCCCTACTCCAGGACTTCACCAGTAATCAACTAGCCTCCATCGCCCGCCGCAGGCAACACATGCAGGAGGGGGACCAACCCTCCCCCTCCTCCTCCACCGCCTCCATGGGCATCGCCCCTCTTGGGGACCGGAGTCCACGGCTGCAGCGCCACAGGGGGGAGCCCAAGTCGGGTCAGAGCACTAGCAGCACCCATGACAGTACCGACCTCTCCAGGTGATCGCTGATGATTGGTAGAGAGCGCCGACACCCCCCCCCCCCCCCCCCCACTCTTCATTTATTTTATGTCCTTAGAGGGTTTCGAAGTTCCTAGTGCCAAAAATAATGTAGGAGAATGTGATGAGTTGAGGTATACAGCTCATTATATAAACGACCGAACCAACTCGGTTTATAGGGATGTAGCAAATATCGGCAGGCTTTGGGATTGGATCACCATTTCTTATCAGGTTCACGTCGTCAAGATTGTTTTATATGGAGGACTGTTCCTGTATTGTATTTAAGTGGGGTACAATAGGAGGAGATGGCTTAGCCTGTGCTATAAGAGAAGGAAGGTATCTTACATGTGGCAAGATGTTGCTTCCTGTTTGACAGTCAGCCTGTATATAAAGACTACATGTACACAAGACAGGTAGCAAAGAGAGCCTGGTTCATTGCTCGTCACATACCAGTGGTCTTTATTTACAAGCTCATTTTGATTTAGATTTGAGCAGTTATTACACCAACTCCATGCCGTGTGCATTAATTCCAACCTAATTTCTGAGAGGTTTGCAATTTGTTTGGACAAGAATTGCATAGTTTATCATCCTTCATGGACCTTCATTTTAAAGTTATACTCATCAAGGATTTTCTCTACCAAATGAGTAAAATGAATGAAGCATTATGGGTCAAAAATTGTGCTTGAACGTTCATTTATAGACTTGGGTGCTCAGAAGCTGACAAGTCATGTAGTCTTTATATACAGGAGGTTTGTTGGTTAGTTTATGACTGGATGATGCATGTTTTGTTTTGTATGTTTTTGTGGCGTGCGGGTCAACCACGAGTCTGAAGAAGGATTGGTTTGTTCAGAATTTGTTGAATTTGTTTATTATCCATGAAATATTGTTTGATGTTAGCTAAAATGTAAAGTGAACTTCTTGTTTTCATCTTTAAAGGAAGGAGTGTTGAGACACAGGAAGAAGAGAAAAAACATGTTAGTTTGGTCGTCAAAGTTGGATTAATGTGCCTGTTTAACTATAGAGATAAGTGATAAATATGTGACCGAGTTTGACTGTATTAAAGCGACTAGTATTGTGCCGTGTTTTCAGTGTGTTCAATTTTAATGTGTGAGATAGGTAGCAGAGATTAGAGGTGGTTGAGAGGTTTGCTGAGAATGCTATCCCATAAAAGGGAAAGTAAAGATGTACAGTATTTGAATTTGCAAAAGAAGAAATGATAACATTCTGACCCTTGGTAGGATTTACATGAATGTGTCAGAGCAATGCTAGACTGAGATGTAAATGATCTGAACATTGCAATAACAACAATGGTTGAAATTGAAGAAGGTTTTGATCGGGTCAGTTAATTTATTGATACTTTAAGTTTGTAACGCCACAGAGCATACATCCACCTTTGTTATTATCATATCTCCAAGTCATTTATATTAAACTGGCTTGTATGTATGTGTGTTCTCAGGAGCACGTTTTTTCAGGGAACCTTCGCATTGTTGTCTGAATTAATTGACAAGTGCTAGAATTTCAGACTTGCTGCAGCTAGCACAAAGCCCATATTTTCACTTTGCAAGCATTGGACTTGTGTCTTTTGAAGATTGAAATTAACATATATGTGACAAGAATGGGTATTAGAGAAGTATAAGTTTAGTGTAAAAACAGTATGATTGTTTATTAGTCACTGGCAATTGAAAATGCCCTTGGTGGTGAGTAATTTCTTTTGTTAAAATGAACGAGCTATCAAAGTGAGGAATTTTATTTGTTTTTTCCTTATTTACATAAGGGATAAAAGCAATGGATTAGACCACTTGGTGGGAATAAGTGTGACCTCAGTAAAAGAACTACCGGTAAGATATTTGAGCCTGGTTGTTCTTTGTATGTACATGACATGAAACGAAAGGGTTTGTGCGATTTTCGGGGTTCAAAAAGGGTATTAAAGCAAGCAAGTGTGAAATATGCGGCTCGCGTAAGTTGCTCTGCGTTTTTCGTCTTCGTGACAAAGCTTTTAGGTGTTAGTGTAGACCGAAGGTTAACGCTCTGGTGCCAATGCAAGCATATAGTATCGTAGTTGCTTCCACTAAGCTCCATACATGTAGATCCATCAATTTAGATAGTCTGCCAATATATTTTATGTAAGAAACCTGTAAAGAAGTCTTCTTTTTTAAACCTATAACATCTAAGAGAGAGTTTAGAGATGGTTGAATTAGTTGCTTCTTTGAATGAATTTGCTCTGCTTTTTCCCCCTTCTTTTCTTCCATTGTATTTTTACTCTGTATACTCTTCAAACAAATTATGCTTCCCCTTACATGTATGTCTGTTTGTTTGTGCGTGCATGTATGTTTGTATCTACATTTGTACTCATCATGATTGTTCTCCTGATGTTTGGTTGTTTCTGTTTGCTTCTCACCCACACTTTCTTTCTCTCTCTCTTTCTTTTTCTCTCTCTCGCACATTTTTGCTCTCTTTCTCACCTTTCTCTTCTTCGTATTTTCTTACTCTTTACATCTCACTCTCTATATGTATCTCTCTCTCTCCCTCTCTCTCTCCCTCTCTCTCTCTCCCTCTCCCTCTCCCCCTCTCTCTCTCTCTCTCTCTCTCTCTCTCTCCCTCTCCCTCTCTCTCTCTCTCTCCCTCTCTCTCTCCCTCTCTCTCTCTCTCTCTCTCTCTCTTTCTCTCTCTCTCTTCTGCAGACTTGTTTTGCCCTTTCTCTTCTGCTCCTAGCTGTCTCTTCCCTCACCCTCTCCTACTCTCCCTACTTTCATTTTGTCAGCTCTCTTTAGAAGTCGAAAGTAAGACATGAGCCAAGACTTTAAAGTGCATGCAAACTTAGCTAATATATTTCATTGTTTTATGATGTCTTGATTTTAGAGTATAATATTCTCGTCCTACATGTAGAAATGAGCAACAGATCAGAGTGTCTCTGACATTCTCATGCTTATGATCACTTTTATTGATGAAATAAAGTTTATAGAATAGTATTAATTGAAATTAATTTCAAATCAGAAATTCTTTAATTCTTTCTCTACAAGTACACATATGTAGTTGCTGCTGGCGGTCTAAGTTAACAATCAGTGCTAGTATTTAAGTATTATTGAGACATTTAGAAATATTTTTCTTTTTGTCATTTTGAATTAACTACAGGAAAGGTACAACTATATAACAAGAAGGCTGCATTCTAGACAATTTTATGTACAAACATGTTACAAATGTGTGTAATGATTTATACAATGGGAAATAGCTGCTTTTCCTCTAACGTCTGTACTAGATCTATGAGCTGCTGGTCACAAAAGAAGGATAAATAAATTGATTAATTAATTAAAATATAAATAATATTAATTTTGTCTTTTTTATGTTTGAGGTATAAATTTGTCTGAAATGCTAATGTTATTGACATACATGGTGATTATGTCAGTGGCAAGAATGCATTTATCCATTGGGACTATAGAAACGCTGCACAATTCAATGTACTAGCCCTAAATATTATGAAAAGGAGATTTTTGAAAACTTTAGGAGGAAAATAGAAAGAAGTGAGGTTTACAGATCCACTACCTGTAAGCCTATATGTTATCTTACTTGAATCGTTTATTATCTTTATACCAGAGGTTCAAAATATAACATGAGGATTTATGCCCACCGCACACTACACGATCCAACTACAGTCCAAGCTTTGGAAGAATATACAAAAGCATTTAATACAAACATTCAAACTTTTGAAATCTTAATGACCGAGGATCTGAATACCGGTAGTCTTATGATTAAGACTTCATGCTTCCATTGAAGAGGAAAAGCTAAATCAGCTCAGAATAGTAGTCGCATCAGACTAATAGTGTGATTGTCAACGATTTGAAGTTTATTTGGCTTTTATTCTGACTCGAAGAGTTGAATGTACTTGAATTCCAGTTGTTAGTATGACTATCATTGTTTAGAACTGAAACCAGGAAGATGTTAGAAGATTTCTTATCTAAAACAATTGCCATTTTTTCGAAAATCAGATCGCAGAACGATCGTGTAGTATGCAGTAGGCTATCCATGTACATGTATATACCAATATACATTCTAAACTAAGTTAAATGTGCCAATTTGTGGTTTATGCAAATACATTGAGATTGCCATTACTCTCCATATAATGTCTTTATGCCATTTTATTTAAACTTTAAGCTATAAATATAAGCTTCATGAACCCCTTGCAGCAAAAGGTGTGATATACTAATGTACACAAAATATTAGGTACGTTTCTGCTGCAATTGTCACCAACAAATGTGAGTACTTTTAAACAGACTGAAGATTTTATTTCTCAAATTTTACTTGATGTTAAAGGTCACCATGTACTTTTGCATCTCAATGCAAGTAGCATGATTTTGTTCTGCCTGAGGTTTATACTCACAATCAGACATCGAGCTTACTGCAACCTTACTAGGGGTCCCAGGGTAGATCTATCTGTCATGCTAATGGTCCATTGCAAAACGTTGGCAGTTTTTTATTTTACTTGTCAATTAACGACAAGTCAGAATATATCAGGAAGCTTTGCTCAGCAAAGGCTCAACACATAATCTATATCTGTGTATTATAAGGTACAAAAATGTGAAGCTTATAATGCTGCTTTAAAAAATTGGTTAAAAGAGAGGAAAAACACCTGGCAGTTTAGCGCAATATTTGTTAACTAGCCTTTAATCTTTGCTGGTCATGCCTCTATTTTGTCTCACTTTCTAGTGATGATATCAAGCAGTATTTTGGGGGTGTCGATCGCTTGGCGCTAGCGGCATCTCAAGGGATATTTGTGTGTGATAGATAATGATACATGTACATGCATGGATGGCAAGATCTCTTTTATTTCATAAGCCCTCAAAACAAACACAAAAAATCTTTCTTTCTTTTTTTCTTCCTTTGGATTTTATATGTGTGTGTTATAATTCATATGCATGTATATGTTAAAGGTCGAAGAACATAATTTAACCATTTACTAGATATTCCAGTTATACATGGATATTTATTATAGAGAACTCTGATATAACAAGGACATTTTGATAGTTCCAGCTTAACAATATCTTGATACATTTACATACACGTATATGGAGGGAATTTTCATGGTCCCAAGATTTTTTGTTATATGAGGCTCTGCTGAAGAAGTACATGTTTCTTTAGATGGTGTTTTATTGAGGCTAAGCTTTTAAGGACTGTTTTTTTTTCTTTTGTCAACATTATTCCGAGTCTTCTAAGAATTTTTTTTGTTTTTGTTTTTGTTTTTGTTGGGGGGGGGGTATCCATTTATTATTTCAAATGTGCCAAATGTTATAATAGATAAAACTCAGATATTTTGGAACATGCTAATTGATGTAAATAACCATTGGTAGGGGTTATTTTGAACTTCAAACAAACAAAATGAAATAAGGATGATTTAACTCCTTTCTTTTTTTTACTCCAAAATTGAGGTTTAATTTTTCACCTTATTCTTTTTTCTATATTTTTCATTATTTCATTTACTTGCAAGCAATTTCTTTGTGCCAACTATTTGCACTGAATTTTAAGTGACAAAAGCAATACATTTAGATCCCCAATTTGTTATTGTCAAATGTAAATGTCCAGTGCTTTATCCACTTTGAAATTTGCTAGAAGTGCATTGATACAGAAGCAAAATAAGATGATACTATATATTTTGTGTATAGAATTCTCTTTTTTATTCACTGCATATTTCTTTTCCGATTTGATTGTGGATAATTTGGTCAGTTATTGATTGTGAGTTATATAACTAATTATTAACTTATTTAGTTAAATAATTATTAGTTTACAAAGAATAACTAGTGCACGACAAGGTAGTGACTTTAACTGAAATTTCAACACTTCTGTTTCAAACAATGCATTTGCGTGTTGGTTTTCTGTATGTATGTATGTATGTATGTACTTTCGTTTTTGTTGTTTAATTAATTGTGGACTGTGAAGTATTAAAGGAAGAACTTTGATAGTTTCCTAATTCTACAACATGGCTATGATATTGTGTATTATTAATCAAGTCATATTTATATATTGTATCTTTGGATAGGAATGTACATGTATGTATCCCTTTTTCTTCGTTGTTTTGATTTGATTGTTGATGGCTCTTCTTGTGGATTTATATATTGATAGTTGAGGGAAGAATAAGACATCTGATACATTCCAATGATAAGGCTTCTGTATATATCTTATTACTGTATATAATTATAGTATGTTTTACTGTGTGTAATATACGTAGATAAGAATGATGACAAATATTGTACATACTTATTTAAATTTCTGTTTGTGTAGAAGAGAGTAAGAAATTTTTATCTCAAACTTTTTCCATAGACGATTTTTTCCTCATTGTCGGTCTGTTTTTTCCCCCCTGTTCAAACTTGATAAAAGATAGATAAGAGTTGGACAATTTGCATAAAAATCTACATTTGCACTGTTGTATTGACCTTTAAAAGGAAATAATAAATACTGTAAAGATAAGATGAGAATTAAACTTGTTTTCCTGTGTTTATTTCACGTTTTCTCTGAGTCGACTATCAATAGTGTTCAAGATGGTTGCAGACCTTAAAGGTACTATGTCTAATTTGCAGGCCCAACAAATGAAAAGGTTAAATTCCAAAGGCATTTGAAAGATAATACTACTTAAGAACTTCCCTAAAATCAGAGAAAATAATGACTATTAGTTGTCGAATCGACTTAGGAGCTATAGAGCCAGTAAGTAATAGTCTGATTTTCAGACCATTTTACTAAATGGTCGTACGTTTTATGCTGCGCAAAGATTCAATCAGTTAAATTTTGGCCATTACAAGAAATGGGTTATTGATGTAGACACATGCTCATGTACCCTTTACAGCTCATTTTATGTATGTTATTACCAAAGAAAAAAAAAGTCGGTCAGTCACTAATAGTGTCTGCCTGTGAAGTCTAACAAGTAAACAGGTCTCCCTGCATAATTTAAATATTAGGACATTGCTAACGTTTAAATTTCACAGATAGGACATACATGACATATTCATAATTCCTGCAAAGTTCTACAGAATTTGATGTTGGCTGCAAAAGGGACATAGTACCTTTAAAACCTGAAGTTCCATCAATCCAGTGGTATATTGAAGAGGTCTATTATTTGGGACCTCCCACCAAATAAAGTAATCAGTTTTCTGCTTCTATTATAACCCAACTTAAAGGTATAGACCAGTTCTGGTCATGCAATTGAATTGAGAAAGAAACGTTGTGGAATCGATCAAAAAAGGTTGCTCATCTAGCATATAAGTATTGGTGTGTACTGCAAGGTTCTGGAATCATCAAAATGATAAGAAATTTAGCCCAGCCTTGGTTAAGTTACAAGCACAGAAAGATGTATAAACTATATGGGACTACGGGATATCTATCCAGGCCGGATAGATATAATAATTTACCAAATATATCAATTAGTAGGCAGTTTCCCAGCAAAATTTATATCATTACGTATTAGCATGGAGTAGGTCCATGGTATTAGTCAAAACATATTCTTTCACATGATTGGTAATAAGAGCTGCCATTTCGTTTTTTGAGAGGGGGCGTTTCCAAAACTGGTCTTTACCTTTGACCTCAGGGTAGACTTTCCCTTTAATATCCATCAACACTAAGCTCACACATACTGCAAAATAACAAAATAGAAATACATTTACAATTATAAAAGTTGTTTATTAAGATATCAGAAATATTTACAACATAGGTTTGTTTCTGTTTAGTAGACATGACTTTGTACAGATGAATATATTCAGAACAAGAAATCTAAGATAATTATGATGCGTCACATGAAGACTAACATAATTTTAAATAACTCTACTAAAGAATACATGTACATTTAGTCTCTTTTGTATTTTGATTTTTGTTTTTATAATGATATAGATATGATTAGCAGAAATTTGTAAACAATCCTGCGATGTAACCCCACTCCCAAGTATACCTAGTGATACACCACAAAGGAATGATATACCTGCAAAATTAGTTTTATGAAAGATGCAACGGCAGAGTAATAAAGCACAATTTTGTGTTGTGATTTGGGCGAACGCGGCACTAGGGAGTCGGGACAACTCAGCCTCAGCAGAAAGCGTGGCCTAATTGTTCAAAATAGCTGAAAATTACGCAAGTCTTGCATCAGTTTATGCATTGCGGTCATATTTTTTAACAACCAAATTCAACAGTATTTGATGGGAATATGTAAAAATCAATTACTGAACCGATATCAAGAGGTAAAATTCTATAAAACATGAAATTTATTGAGAAAACCTATCACTGCTCTAGACCAAGTTAATCTGACCCTCTGTGTTTTTTTATTTTAGTCATTGCATTCAAAAGTATCAAAATTCAAGATTTTAACTTGATCCCAATGACATCACATGACTAGCCCCTGTTTTGCCATTTTTCCACCGATCACGTTACATTTTTGGAAAATCTCATTATAATCTCTTGGAAAACCCTCTCATGAGGTGTCCAGTGGGCTTTATACTACAACATTATTACATGAAAGTTTAATTGTCATAAGTTTTTACTGCTCTTTACTGTGAAAAATAAAATTGTGACTTGAACTCGAAAATATTGCTTGCATGGCATAAATGTATGTGTTAGAGTGAAAAGGACTCCTTTCAACAAAACCAACACATTTTCGTAAGACCATCTATGATGCATATAATAAAAGGAACAAGGTTTTTAAAATAAGGGAACACAAAAGGGGTAAAACAAAACAAAAATCAGGTAGTATCAGTTTAACTTGAACGAATCAGAGACATTACATGTATACTATAAGGAATAAAAGTGTTAATAATTGACATAACACATGAACTCTCCTACAGTTTGTTTCTCTCTTTCTCTCTCTCTCTTTCTGCGACTGATAAAAGATGTACTTTTCTCATCCCCTTTTCTTCTAGAAGTTGTAGCGCTTAGTTTTTTCTTTCTTGCTCCTAGATCTCTCTCTCTCTCTCTCTCTCTCCCTCTTACTCCCCCATCCCCCTCTCCCTCCCTCCCTCCCTCCCTCCCCCTCTCTCTCTCTCTCCCCTCTCTCTCTCACCATTAATTAGTTATCATTCAGCTCTTTGAGCTCTATTGAGTAGGGTATAAGGTCTAATATCTTCTGCTTTCACCGAGTGTCTGTCCATCATGTATTGACATCTGCAAGGGGGCGGGGCTGCCTGATGCTGGGCTGCGCTCTGAGCGAGGGCTTCAGCAAATGCTGTCCAAACTATATGCAGAGAAACAAAGAGAGAGAGAAGGCAGGAGGAAGAAGAAAGAGAGAAAAGAAGGAGAAAAAGGAAGGAAAAAAGGAGAAAAAGGAAGGAATGAGAGAAAAAATTACTTGGATTTAAACGTTAAAAATACAGCACATATGATTTATTGTCCTGTATGAGAATACACATTGTTAGTTGTTACAGAAACTTTACCAGCCCCCGCTCCCTCCCCCCCCCCCCCCCCCCCCCTCCCAACAATAACAAATACTTAATAAATTGACAATAAATTGACTCCAAATTATTTGGGGAGCTGATTCTGACCAAAGCAAAATCCTTGAGCTTGCATGCAAAGCAGAACTAGATTAGGATAGTCACATCGGTTTTAATACTGCTCTTCCTGTTTTCAATGCAATTATTGATACCACAGCATCGCTAGGTACCCATGTAATGTGCACCTGGGTAGAGAGAGACACATGTGGCCCAATACCTCATCCAAGGATGATAGCACCAAGCAAGGACCAAACCTGGGGGGGGGGTGTGTTTCACAAAGACTAAGATCGACTTTTAAGTTGGACCTAACTATAGCAGGTCGTTCATGCCACTGTTTGCTCAATGCTCTGACCACTATGATCTTTAGATAATATCTTTTCCTTCAATAACGAATTATCAAAAAATGTAAATATCTGTAGATTCGTGACCATGATTTGTACGTCCCTTGAGAGAGTAAATGGTGAGAGCAAACAGTGGCATGAACGGCCTGCCATAGTTAAGTCCAACTTAAAGTCCATCTTAGTCTTTGTAAAACACCCCCCTGGAACATCTTGTATGAGAGAGAAGAGTCTTCACCAATATACTACAGTGCCTAGGAACATTATAACATCATGCACAATACTCAAAGAATGGAGTATCATGATTCTCATTCTCAATACCTTAGGGCTGGCATGCCTGGCAGGACTCCACTTTCCCACGGGGGATCCAGAGCTGTTGATATTCTCCTTGTTAGCGGCCGTCGGGCTGCAGCTGAGACGGGCGTGGGCAAACTTCTTCTTCAAGGCCCTGGCGATGATGGAGGCTGGGTCGTTAGCTTCAGAAGATTTGGGTTTCTTCCTGACGGGGGTTCCGCCCGGTGACCTGTCAAGAAAAGATAGGAAATGTAATGTCTTCAGTTGTATTTACCCTAGAAATAGGAGGTTGACAAAGAATTTTGACAAAAATTATACCTCCTTTCTTTATTTTTTTCTTTTTATTGACTAATGATAAACATGTAACTGAGTAGGGTATTGTGCAATATTTTTGAAATGATTTTACCGTAACAATTGATTTGGGATGTGTTTCTCTCCTATGAACATGAACATATAGTGGTGAGGGTTTTTTTTATGTCATAACATACGATTTGCGAAGATCCATACAAAATCTGGCCTACAGTATTTTCACTTACTGTACCTATTTTCATATGTAACAAAAGAAATGTCAGAATGTATTCTTCCAGTTTCATTTCCATGCGTTTTTCACATACTGAACCTATTTTGACCTGCAAACATACATGTGTAGTGAAACCTATCTATAAAGACCACACAAGGGAGACAAGAAAAGTGGTCTTTGTGTACTGGGGGGTGTTTCATAAAGCTGTTCGTAAAGTTACGCATGACTTTACGAACGACTTGTATATGAAAAGCCAAATGGGATGCTCAATCATTATTGATTATTATTTATTAAGTTGAACTGTGCAGATGTAGATTAACATTCTTATTATAACAACCATTTTTAATGCGAAGTATATTTTTTGCCATAAATTAATTGAGGTTATTGGAAATATCAGAAAAAACTTTGGGCATCCCATCTGGCACTTCATATACAAGTCGTTCGTAAAGTCATGCGTAACTTTACGAACTCTTTATGAAACACCCCCCAGGTTCCTTTATTATATGGTTCAATGAGAAACCATTTTCAAGGGAAACAAAAAAATGTGGTCTTTGTGGACCGGTGGTCTTTCTATACAGGTGGTCTCTAAAGCAGGTTTGACTGTCCTTACCTTGCTATTGACTTTAACTTGACCGTCCCAAGTCCCTTCAGTATATCAGCCATGTTTGGCATACTATCTGATCCTGTTTCCTTGGGTTTGTTCTTGTTCTTAGCCCTGTTCTGTGATCCAAAGGAAGAAGTAAAAACAAAGAGATGTTTATATGTTTTTAATAATATTACATTTGGTACTACTAAGGTCTTAGTCTTCAACTTAAAGATAGAGTTGAGTTCTGGTCATGCGATTGCACTGTGAAATAAACGGTGTGGAATCGATCAGAAAAGGCTGATCATCTACATCTAGCATACAAGTAATGGTGTTTACTGCAAGGTTCCGGAATCATCAAAATGATAAAAAATTCGGCCCAGTCTTGATAAGTTACAAGCACTGTACACAGAAATAACTTCAATAAGTATATGGGACTACACAAACATGTGGCATAAAAATCGGGACAGATTTTTATGCTGTTGCATGTCATATCTAGAATTTTCAGGCAACATTTTTGATCTGATGTTCTTCCACATTTGCATAATAACAATGATAACGCTCACACATTATTTTTCACATCTTCCCAGAACTCAACCTTCTCTTTAACTTATGAAAAACAAATCAAAAAAAAATTACATATGTACAACAGACATATGGTTAACAACTAAATTATTCATACTGTACCTCTTGTAAATTGACGTTTTTTGTGTGTTTTTCTTGACTCAAAAATGAAAGTGAAAGGTAGACTGGTTGAAATAGGGCCTTTGTTGAATCATTTTGGATGTAAGTTTTAAAATGTCACATTCTCAAGAAATATAAATGAATTTTTGACACACTTTTAAAATTTCAAGAACTTGCTAAGGGTATGACAAATTTGGTTGCATCTGATCGTTAAAAAAAAAGAAGCAATTCTTATTCACTGAAGTACAGTATACAGGAATTGGGAATTTCAAAGTGTCTGTGGTAAACGAAGCATGTTGCGAAACAAGTCAACAAATTTAATAGTTTCTGGCAATATCAGAAACTTGTGATAAAAAAGAGAGCTGAAATATGATTCCATGCACCAAAAAAAGCCTCTCTGTGAATGTTCTCCTACTTACTCTAAGAATAAAATCAAAGTTGAATTTAGCTTTTAAACTTACCTGTTTGATGAGGTCAATTGCAGAGAGTTTAGGAGCTGAGATTGGAGGGGGAGGTGGAGGTGGAGGCGGGGGTGCTCCACACGGTGGTGGTGGAGGGGGAGGGGCAGCACCAAATGGTGGAGGAGGTGGTGGTGGAATAGGGGCCATCGTGGGTGCTATGCTCATCCGACTTACAGGAGTACATGGAGTGTGAGATGGATCTGGAAGTGAGGTGGAAAAGAATAAAAATTATATTTACTATTTTTAAATATAACATTGAGTTCTGGCCATGCGATTGCATTGTGAAAGAAACGATGTGGAATCAATCAGGAAAAGTTGATCATGTAACTTATGAATGTGTACTGCAAGGTTCTGAAATCATCAAAATGATAAGAAATTTGGCCTAGTCTTTGTTAACTAACAAGCACTGCACACAGAAAGATATATATAGGACTACACAAACATGTGGCATAAAAATGTGGGCCTCATTTTTAAGCTGTTACTTGTCATATTTAGGATATGAAGGCATTTGAAGAGCCATGCTATTCAGGGAACATTTTTTAATTTTTTTCTTCCACACTTGCATAATAACAATTATAACGCTCACAAATTATTCTCACCTCTCCCCAGAACTCAATCCTCTCTTTAAGTAGTATTAACCAACTCAAAAACTAAGCTACTAAGATATTGTACAGGAACGTAATCAAATTGGTATTCATTGGACCAAACGCAAATACACAACACCCACCTGCTTGTGGCAGCTGTGACTGCATGGTGACAATCATGGCAATCTGTGACCTCAGCTTCTCCAGCTCATCTTCCAGCGCCGATATCTTCTTCTGGGCGACAGGGTCGTCGACCTTTGCATAGGGGTCAACGGCCTTTGGCCAGGGAGGAGACGCACCACCCTTGGGAGGCGTCTGTGGTTCTATTGTAAACGGGAGAGGGGATTGGCTGCAGGTGGGGGTTCGCTGGGGGGAGGGGGTTGTGCAGTATTTGGGTGGGGTGTGGTGAAGGGGGCGCACGGTCATGGTGATTCGTCGCTTCGTCTTGTTCTTGACCGGCCGATATTCAGACCTGTTTGGAGATGAAGAAGGAAAGTTTAATTCAAACAGAAAGAAGAATTTGTTGAAACTATTATTCTACATTTCAATAGAAGATCAAAAGGGCATGAAGAGAAGATGTGCTGTTATTATCAGCATTTTTCAATGTCTTCTCAAAATGGGGGAATTAAATTCATTTTGCTTATTTTGTTGCATTTGTTGATCTTTTTTAACTGCTTAGCTGTAGTTTTTGTTGATGTCCTTTTAATTTCCTTTATAGAAATGAATTCCACACTCCAATATAGATTATCTAATAGCTCCATATATATTATAGATATAACTTCCAAATATATACATAACTTCTAAACAAATTAAGATATCAAAGTTCGGTACAATCATTTCTACTTATCAAATTAAACCAGATCCTGGGTCTAAAATCATGTATAACTAAAGGAGAAACCTCTGGTGTAAGACTTGATTTCAAATGAATGCCTAAACCCAGGGTCGGATCTAAATTTAGTAGAATACGAGCCATTGAATTTTAAGAGCCTCGTGTGTGTTGTTTCTCACCTGGACCTGATATCTTTATCTGGTGTTGCCATGATGATCCAGGGTAGATCTGACAGGGTAGGGATAAAGGTCGGCTCACAATCCTCTTCAAAGAACTGGTGACGCCATGGTGGGGGCTCAGAACGTCGAAAAATCTGAAATGAGGTAATAGTAGAATTAGCCATGTATCAACACACACACACACAAACAAAAAGTTCAACTTTAAAGGCACACTGCCATACTTGTAGCTACTTGCTCCCTCTATATAGAAAACTTCCCCAATCGGTGCCTGTTGGTCCCCCATGATCCTCTTTTTCTTATGTTAAATGAGAGCTGAGTTAATGAGATAGCCACCTGTCACAGTGACCTCGATGGCTCTCTGTGTGGTTTAATCCCTTCTGGCCCAGTAGTGGTGACGGTCTTTAAAGCCCTGGTTTTAGAAAAAAGGTTATCAAAAAGGCACACCAAGGTGGTATGGAAACCCATTGGTGAAAGAAATTGTGGAATTTTGAAATAGCTTGCCCCAAGACCATGAGGCATCTCGTAGTCAAAGAGAACGAATAAATAATATTAATAATAAGAAGAAGAAGATACGAGACACACAAGACTGCCGACACAAGCTGTGGCTATAATGGCTTCAGTTAAAGCTTATCTGCCGTAGTTTACAGGAGGGATTAGACCGCTCTGCAAGGTCACTGGACAGGTGGTTATCTCATCAACTCAGCTCTCAGTTAACATAAGAAAAAGAGGATCATGGGGGACCAATGATCACCGATAAGGCATTGTTTGTTATATAGAGGCCGCAAGTAGCTACCAGTAGTGCAGTGGGCCTTTAAAGGTGTGTTGTGGTGAGGTACACTGCTTCTGGTTGAGGTTGATAGCTTTTTTCTAGAAAGTGATGTCTCCCTTTTCTCCCAAGTATATCTTTTTTGCGCGTGTCTAATATTGGACCTCTGACTGTGTCACGCTTATTTTGCGCTAATTTTAAACCAGGGAATAATTTTCCCGGTATCGCATCGCAATTTGCGACGCATTTTCAGCCATTTGCTACACATCTTTTTTTATGAATCGCAATTGCTGCGATGCAAATGCAAACATACATGTTTAAGGGCGGGCTCATCACACCTCTGTACAAGTACAAGTGCGAGTGAGAAGCCGTTTCGCGATCTGAATAATCTGAATTACTAGGCTAGCTCATCACACCTCAGTACAAGTGCGAGTGAGTAGCCCGTTTCGCGATCGCCGGCCCTGTAATCAGAATACAGGGCCGGCGATCGCGAAATTGGCTACTCACTCACACTTGTATGTTTGCATTTACAGCGTAACTACTGTGCGTGAAGTATACTGCAGTCACTCTCTAACCGTGAAGCTTATACACATACACCCATTGTCGCGCAAGCACATGGCATGCTACGATCACCTTCTAACCGCGATTGTTGTTTTGAGGCATGGTTCGCGCGATCATTGCACAATGCAATGACAATGCACGTGGGATCTAATTACATGCATCGCATGTGCGCGATGATCGTACCTGGGAGTTGTTTGTTTACTGTCACTGCAGCAAGTGGCCATATCCATTTGAGGACTAGAAATGTGAGTACACCCACCATGTTTACATGTACATTCATCTTATTGTAGTGGGCAGAAAATGTGCGCTTTGCTATATGAGAAAAAAATTGCGATACAAATTTATCCAACTGCTATGCAAAAATTATTTTGTATAGCAGTTTTGCTATGCAATTTTTTTGCTGAAAATTATTCCCTGTAAACCATGGGTTATGAAAATGAGGGTTTAAACCATGGGTTAAATTCAAATCTCCTTTGTGAATTCGGGCCATTGAGCATACCTGGAAGTGAACTCTCTGTATTGGAGCCAGCGGAAGACTGGATCCTATTGCTCTGATCAGACTCCTCCTACGCCGTCTCTTTGCAGGGAGATGACTCTGTGACCCGATGACCTAAGGAAGAACAAAATATAAAGACTTTGTCAAATTGGATGACAGAATAGATGAAAGATCATTCTCCAGATGGCTGAAGGATCAAAAGTTCTCTAATTTATGACTGAATATATTTATGTAGGCATTGAAATATTTGTCTATTTTTTTCACAAAGCCTCTCAGAAAAAAGAAAAAAAAAGCATTTTCCCTTTAAAGCCTATCTGCACTAGACCAAGTATGGCCAAGAGGGATTAGAGAGCTCCCTCAGTCCCTGCATGGCCACTGACAGGTGGTTATCTCATCAAATCAGCTCTCAACACTTCATGAATTAACATTAAAAAGGGGGTCATGCATGGGGGGGGGGGGGGGGACAAACAGGTACCTCTTAGTCTTAGGCATTGTTCGTTATAAAGTAGCGGACGCAAGTAGCTATTACAAATAGTGCAGTCTCGCGTTAATAATCTTCGTTTTGGGGCTTTAGAAGACTCAAATCATGATTTTTTTTTTACTCACCTCCTGGTCATCTTGTGTATTTCCGAGGATGTGTAGAACCATTCTGATGACGTGAAGGATAGCTGCGTCCAACATCAAGACCAAGTACCTTCCAAACAACACAGAATTAGAAGAAACGCTTCCACAATTCACAACGCTACACTGTCTTGCTTCACTTCCGTCATTACCAGAAAAATGCTGAAAGGAAAGAGAACAGCAATGCACAATTGCACATGGTCAGCGTTCTTGAAACGTAAATCACATGTTATCTGAGTCAAAGAAGGTTATTTGCGAGGTTCGTCAGGTATGGTACGGGAATGGGTAATTACCACTCCAGCAAAGCATAGAGAGTCAATGTTAATGCATATTGACCTCTAGCACTGCATGCTTGCTGTGAGGCAGGTAATATACACACCACACAATATCGCATAGACTCTACACAATCATGTCGATGCAGCTGTAAGCAAAGTTCGACACTAGACTTACAATTTGAATTTTTAAATTATTCTTTTTAACATCAGTATGTTAAAAAAAAAGTATTTTAGATCTAGATCTAGGCCTACTGCTATTTAGGTGTCATCAATTGTCATTAAAGTACTGATTTTTAGTAGGGTAAAGTGCCCAGTATTCGGTCACTTAAAGGTAAAGACCAGTAATGGTCATGCGATTGCATTGTGAAAGAAACGTTGTGGAATCGATCAGAAAAGGTTGATCATCTAGCATCTAGCATCTGCCAGGTTCTGGAATCATCAAAATGATAAGAAATTTGGCCCATTCTTCGTAAAGTTACAAGCACTATACACAGAAAGATGTATATGGGACTACCCTATCTCTCTCACACGACCATGAGAGAAATAAATTCACCAAATATATGAATTAGTAGGCGGTTTTCCGGCAAATTTTTTATCATCATGTATTAGTCAAAACATATTCTTTCACATGATTGGTAATGAGAGCTTCCATTTCATTTTTTGAAATTGGGGCGTTACCAATACTGGTCTTTACCTTTAAGGGGAAATCGCTAATATTTTGAATTCTTACCTCTTCTATTTGGCAATCTACCCATCAACAGAAAATAAATTTATTCCTCTAACAGGATGTTATAGTCACCTAAAATATAGAATAATAATCAGCAAAATACTTCCGAAAGAAGACGGAGCATTTTTCTGCCCAGAATTCGGTCGCCCCGAATAGAATTTGGTCACGCGATTTGTGCGTGGAATCTTCGTTGCCAAGGAGCGAAGGTATCTGCGCACTATTTTCACACAATCGCACGATAAAGCACTGAGTGTCAATGCGTTGATCGAATACTGGACGAGCAATACCGCATGGCAATGGTATCGTATAAATACATGTCCCTCTTGCACATCAGCAAGTGCATCAATTGCAAATTCACTGCGATGGAGTGATCACGGAAGAGCTCCTATTCACACACATACTAAATTCATAGCGACAGCACACGTAGTTGTTTCGCAATAAACTTCTTCATATGGCTATGCATGTTAGCCCATGTGCTAACAGAACGCGGCCGCGGAAGTGCAGAAAGTTGTGCGACACTGACCAATTTTGAGCTAAATTGGAGATCTTTCCGGTGCCCTAAATCTGATTTAATTTTGAGAGTTAAGAAAAGTTGTTCAGCTGCCTGATTTGTGCAAGTTTCGAGGCTCATAAACTTTTGTTTAATTGTTACAGGCTGTTGAAAGTGAAACGGCTGTCTGACAGAATACTGGTAGGGTGTCTGATCGCGCACCCAATGTTGTGTGCTAAAACCCTTCCCATAGAGATTGTACGCTTCCCTATGTGGTCTACGTGCATTGCGCGACCATCCAAAATTGGTCAATGATTTTATGAAAAAATTTGAAATTCAAACCTTTATAACAAATGATCCTGAAGGTGAAACTCAATAAATGAGGTGTCATATGAAAGAGCAGGTTTTTCTCCATATTCCCCATAGGGGGCCACCCCCAGAATTCTAAAAATATCTTGGTCAAAACAGCGATTGAAATGTTGTTTGCATCCTAGCTCCAAAATTTGCCACTTTCCTGAGCTGCGCCCCCGCGGCTTAAGCAGGGCTAGACGTAAGGATAATATCCAGATGCTTTTTTTTTCGCTAGCCCCAAGGGATCATTTGTTATAACAGTTTGAAAATACCCTTCCCACATTTTTGGAATCAGCTAATTAGGGAGGCGTGAGCTCCGCTCAGTCCAAACCATGGTTACATCGCGTAACATGTGCGCTTATAGTGAATGAAAGTATGGATGGCCGTTCCCACCATAAACCCCGGAAGTGAATACACGTTATAGTCAATGGCAATATCGCGGAGACATCTCCGCGATATTGCCATTGACTATAACGTGCATTCACTTCCGGGTTTTTTGTGCGACGAACGCTAACCATACTAGTCAATGGCACGTGTCGCGGAGACAGCGTAGCTCAAGCTTGCAAGTCGCGCATTGGCTGAGCAACTTGCGTACGATATGCATACGCTTGCATATCGCGCGATACAGCTGTTTGGCTAAATTTAGCAAAACAACATAACTCTGCGTGTACGTCTTTTTCGTCGATTCTGAGCAAAATGCTATGAATATTTCAGCGTTTTGAAGGGGCTGTATCTTTTGATAGAAACATCGGCGAGACTTGAAATTTGAAATGTATTATTCTGATTACATTTTAAATTCAAATATCAAACAAAAATGGTGAAAAACGATCCCAAATTGAAAATTGAAAAATCGTTCAGACACCCTAATGGGCACGCTACACTAGCCTAGATAGGGTCTACTAGGCCTAATCTAGGTCTATAGACTAAATCAGTCGAGTTTTGTACAGTGTTGAGAATCAAAAGCACAGCTTTTACTACACAGCCAGGATAGTGATGCTCCTATGTGTGGGTAATTAACGCCCTTTAGGCCTACACGCTACAGGCTTAGCGCTAGCGCACTCAAAGAAAGTAGCAATCACAGACGCAAACATCAATACATGGGACTACGACAACTCAAGCAACATACTTTTAGTGACTGTCGAAGCTTATATCTCAGGAATTTCAACATCTACAGCTCATTTTACTTTCATAATTTCTCAAAGAATTAATACATATGAATAAAATTACTGTATATATAGAAATACTTACTTATTTAATGATCTGTAACAGTAAACATTCGGGATTGACGACTAGCGCTCGCTTAGCTTGGTTGACGGTCCTAGCTGTTTAAACGCCCGCGACATAACGGACCAATAAGAATAGAGTAATAAGGAACTCTGACCAATCAGAAATAAGTAGGCGCCGCAGTCCACCATTTTTAAATGCCAATATGAATATTCACCTCACAGATCAGTATCTTTCGCCTGCCAAATATTAGAGGGTTTGGCTTTTTTTATTAACTGTATCTATTTGAAAAATAAAGAATTTAAAGGTTTTGATAGCATCAAATCAGACGTTAAACAATATACTCAGGAAGTAATTCGAATAGCCTACGAAAATGGTACATAATTTTCTATTAAATGGTAATGAATGAGAATGAATTGGCCCGTGTAGACAATATTTTGATCACATCATGATCACAACAAAATAATAACTCTGAGAACCAAAAAAAGCTGGCGGAAAAGGGGAGAAAATTTTATTTCCTCGTTTGGGGACCCCACTGGAAATAAGCTCTCGAGTTTTCGTGGGTTATCCTGTTCAAGCTGACTTAATTTTGATCTGTTATTATTGTATACTGTTGTATGTTGGAAGCTTGAAAATCAATCAATCAATCAATCATCGAACAACTGCCAAGTTTCCCCTTAAAGATTAGGATTATTTTCTGCTTGTCTTACGGTTCCTCATTCTATCTTTGTATTCTTTCTCCCCCCCCCCCACTTCCTCCCTACCTCCTCCTCCTCCCCCTCCACCCCCCCCCCCCCTTCCTCGCTCTCTCTCTCTCTCTCTCTCTCTCTCTCCTTCTCTCCTTCTCTCTCTCTCTCTCTCTCTCTCCTTCTCTCTCTCTCTCTCTCTCTCTCTCTCTCTCTATCCTTCTCTCTCTCTCTCTCTCTCTCTCTCACTCTCCCCCTCCCCTATATCACATGATCACGCTAAGGCGTACAATCAATGCACAAACAAAAAAATAATACAGCAATAGAAAGGTGTTGTGAATTTTAATGTATTTATTTTTTAGTAAATCGTTTTCAATCTACAGTTTAGCAATTAAAACAATATTAATAAGTATTACTCTATGAGTTACATTTTTTTTAATCTGTTAGAAATAATAAACCACCTCTTCCCATATTATATCAACAAAATGCCTCTAATTCATCAAGGGTAATTCAAATGTACATACATGCAGCGCTCAAAATACACGGGGGCGGTGGGCGATTCGCCCCCGTGAGCTCCATAATCGCCCCCGTCAGGTTGCTCACGGGGGCGATTGCAAAATTAAAAATCGCCCCCGTGGAATTATAAAATTAAGATTATCTTTTCTGATATAACTTTAACACAATATTGAGTATTAATTTTCAAACCTTAAACCAATGAAATGGAACCTAGATGGCGCTTTCTCTACCATCTCTACGAGTATTTCCGATACAAACAACGGAAGCTCGCGGTGCGGCCGTCAGCACAGTGGCTATACTGCGCTGGTAGTACCGGTATGCACGCTGACGCCCAGTATCTGCTGGAGCTGAAGATCGACAATCGCCCAAGGACTGAAACATGGAGAAGTTTTTCGTTGTGAAAGTTTGAATCCTCTGAAATCTGGTAATTCTTAAAGACCAGCAAATAATGTAACCCGACCAGTAAATCAATATTGAGAAGAAGAAAAAGGCATAAGATGTTGCAGGGGCGGATCTAGGCGGTTTAGGAGGTTTAATCCCCCCCCCCCCCCCCTCCCCCTTGGGCTGCCAAGGAAAAATGTGATGCGCACATAAAAATGCTATCATGTGTCCAGACCTACACAGTATTAGTAGATGTCAGTAGATGCCAGGAAAACATCACTAACGGGGGTTCAAAATAGCAACAACAAAAATCGCATCGCCGCTACGCGGCTCGTTGACGATGCTCTACATCGTATTTGGGGTACCCCACCACCTTAGCAAAAAGCTTGATCCGCCCCTATGTTTTGGAAGGATATGGTAAAGACTAAAAGTAAAGAAAGAATGTAAATAAGGTTGCTCCGAATAATGAGGAGGAAATTATGTGCAGAACGGGAAGAAATGGAGAAAATGTCCTCATGGGGATAAAAGTCAATAACAGCTATGTAACAAGTAAATTTCTAAGAGGAAAAATACCGACATAAATAAATGGTAATGATAAAATACCAAGGAGTTTCATGGGTACCAATTCAATGGAAATTTGTATTAAAATAAGAGCCCCCGTCAGCACTAAAAGCGCCCCCGTGAGAAGGCTCACGGGGGCTCTTTTTTTTTTGGAAGAGCCCCCGTGGGCAAAAAATTAATTTGAGCCCTGCATACATGTATAGAAAGCAGATAGGTTGATAGGTTGAAATTCTTTATTATGTTGCAAGGGACAAGCACCATGCACATACGACTTTATTGTTCTTTCTTGCCAGTTTCCTCATTCGTATCATATATATATATGTGTATTTGTTGTTCATCTTTCGTTTTGTTATTTGTATGCTCTTCACTTATCGGCAGGCTTTTGTGATTTCTCTCAAGGTCCTGTGTTTTATACTTCAATTCAATTCGTTTTATTCCATTCGTCATATAAAAACATATAATTTAGATGGATTCAAATTTATGGATAATAACAGAGTAGAACATCAAGGAGGAGGAGTTGGTATATTATAGTGCGTCCCAGGAAAAACGAAACCGATAATTGTCGATGTTTTATCATAACTTAGTCACATTTATAATCAATAAATGACACATATTTGGAAAGCTTAGATCCCCCTCTTTCATTTGATGCAACTCATATGATGCATATTTCACGCATGAGTGATTAAAATCAATTTGAAGAGAGGAAACCAAAAAGTAATTTGGCGGACGGTATCTGAATTTCAAAGAGAAAATCACATTTCTAGAAAGACGATTTTATGCCCTTTCATATGACACCTCAGTCAGGAAAAATGAGCTAGGAATAACAAAGTTCTGTTTATTTAAAGAAGTGCTTGCATTTCCATAATTTTAGAAAACAAATTCGGAATTAACAACAGACTTAACTCCGTTTCGTTGACAATCAGCCGTAGACGAAAACCTTCCCACCTCGTCTACCTATCATATTTCCCCCACATTATAGTGAAGACCTTTAAACAAAATTCCACATTTATTTATTTCATGTCAATTCATCTCAGCAAAAGTACAGACCAAATGCTTCTTGTATCAATTTAAATGGACACACAAACAAGATTATTGTATTAAGTTACGAGAAAGTTTAATGAAATGAAGAAAAAAAAGGTAAAAAGAAATGGTTAAATATGCCAAATTACCATTCCCTTTTTAATAAATCAGACCAGTGGGCCATTCTATATCATTCCAAATAAATGAATTCTACATTTGATAAGATGAATAGGGTAAAAAAAGATTTTCGTAAATTGTGTAACTGTATCATATACATACCACAATCTACATGTACAAGACATAAATCAGGACTGTTAGGCCTACTTTGTTTTCTAAAACAAATATGCGTTCACAAATGAAGTAAAATTCAACAGTGAGTCTTTAAATCTGTTAATAAAAATAGTGTTTACAAATAACGATGAATTAACATACACATTGCCAAATTAAATTAGTATGTATTTTTTTTAAATGCAAGGCACAAGTGTTGCATGAATACTGTAATTTTTCAAAAAAGAAAGATTTCTTTAAAATGTGTATAGTTTACGGCTTGAAAGCCTTATTTTCCCCGTCATCTTCGACAAAAACAGTTCTAATCCTCACCTCTTCTTTGAAATCTTCAAAGAAGGGGGCATTTCTTATCCCCGATTCCTATAGCTTTGCTCGTAGCTTTGCTGCTCTGATAACAATAATTAAAGAGAAGGTCGAGTTGTGGAAAGGTTAAACATTAGTTCTTCATTCTCTTAATGTTAGTATCGAAGATTATCATAAACAAAATTGTCCCCTTATAAGGATGGCTCTTCAAATGCCCTCATGTTCGATCGAAATATTATAAGTAAGCACCTACAAGTTGTGGACCACATGTCATGCCACATGTTCGTGTAGTCCCATATGAATATTTCTGTGCACAGTGCATATGACCTTTAACAAGACTAGACCAATTTCTTAACCTTTCGATGATTCCAAAACCTTGAAGTACACATCAATACTGATATGCTGCAGTATCAACCTTACCAAATCGCTTGCACACATTTCTTTACACGATGCAATCGCATGACCAGAACTCAACTCATCTCTCAAGCATTGTATCAAAATAACTGGTAGAAAATTGTTGAAATCATGGGTTTTGTGAATTGATCGAAAACCACAGTACTATCAAACCACTTAAGAAATGAACAGAAATTATCTTTACTTAGTTCAAATAAATGAAATTCTACATACACAAAGAAATCATTGCGATAACCTTTAACCAAGTTATGAATGTTAACCTTTAAAATATATTAATGTGGGTCATTTGCTGATCGCACTTTATACAATTATCCTTTAGATCAGCATTATAATCATCACCATGCATCATCATCACCACCACCAATCTCCACGGGGGGGGGGGGTGCGTGCCGATGGGCATGCCCCCCCCCCCCTTGCACAGAAAAAAAAGAAACAAAAAGAAGAAAAATGCAGCGGTTTACAGAGTCATATGAACGAGTCCTTAGCAAATGTTGACAAACTTTGTGATATTTGCGAAGAGCAATGTCGCAGTCCTGACTGAGCCTATGGCCTTGATAGAGGTATAGTACCTTCATCATTAAAATAGCACCTCGTGTTCTTTGTAGTAGTACCCGTCATCGCTCTTTGGTTTGCTCATGGAGCACAACTGAAATCCGCTCACCGGTTGGTTCCCGAAGAGCGTATCGCTGTAGTCGCAGTAGAGCTCCGACTTAATGGAACGCACACCCGTCTTGTACACACTATCGCGAGAGAGCTTCACCACGGTGAGATGGGGATTGAATCTCCGCGTATCGGTGGATTTGATGCCTTTTATTTTGTAACATTCCTTAACGGTTTCTGGAAAGGAACAAAAATGAGAACGAAGATTAAATTTTGGCTCCTTTTCTACCACAAGCTGATATGAAAATTACAGTTGTCATTTATCTTAAAACACTGGTGGCAGTCAGTGACGTAATGAGCAAAAACTTTTTCTTTTTTTTTTTTTTTTTTTTTTTTTTTGGGGGGGGGGGTCGGAACAAAATCCGCATCACCACCAAGTAGCATAATGCAGGGGCGGCGGAGCGTCTCCCAAAATAGGGGGAGGACAACAACAAAAAAGGGCACTTTCTGGAAAAAAGGGGCACCTACAAAAGAAACAAAAAAACATACATTGGTATATACCCCTACATCGTCATGATTGTGATTACACTACCAAGAATGACAATAACTGCTTAAAATTAAGCAACATAACTTTGTAATGGTCTGAATATTATTTTTCGAGCGAGCGAGCAAACATTTCAACATTTGTGAGGTCCCAGTGCGAAAAATTACATCTTATAATTCCAGAAAAATTTGTAGAAAATGTTCATCTAAATCATTGACGCCTAAATTCCAGTGAAGACAGAGTCTGCCAATCAAAGTGTTGCCTGAACCTTGAGATTGTTTCATCAGTCATTCTCCGCTTCAAAACCTGTCCATCTCTCTTAACATTATTAAACCCCGATGAGTATTAAGCACAATCTAATGAAGTAAGATTGAAAAGATCTTTTACAAGTAACATAATTATAACATTTATAAATGCGAGCGAGCTCTAGGGAAAATTAAAGAAAAGGGGGCTCTTAATCGCCTTGAATTAGGGGTGCATGTTATGGAGGAAGGAAAAGTACGCACTTATCAAAAGGGAAAAGGACAGTTATTAGAAAAGAAAAGGTGCTCTCGTCAGAGTAAAAAAAGACATTTATCAGAAGTGAAAATGGCACTTCTTGCGCCTGAAAAGGAAAACTCAACAGAGAAGAAAAGAGAGGAAAGGACAGTTATTAGAAGACAAAAGAGGCACTTGACCTATGTAAAAATGGGCTTTAGGGGGGTACCTGAAAAAGTGGGGAAAAAAGTGCCCCCCCCCAAAAAAAAACAAAAAACAAAAACAAAACAAGAACAACAACAACAACAACAACAACAACAACAACAACAAAACCGGGAGTGATGCTTCTAGCATAATGGGCAAAAGTGAGAGAAAATACCCGGAAATTCATGTTATTTCAGAAACATTTTGTATATGACTGGTACCGAATAACAAATAAACCACGTTTGAATTTTATTTGGGGGGTTAACTGCCCCCCTTTCAGTATGCCAGTGGTAGCAGTTCTAATTAACACGGTTTCTGTGGGGGTATGGGGCACAGTGCCTCCTACTTTTTCAACTACCCCAAAAGTGCCCCTTTTTACATAGGAAAAGTGTCTTTTTTACTTTAAAAAGTGCCCTATTCATTTTTTTAAGTGCCCATTTTCCTTTGCAATAAGTGTCCATTTTCCATTCTCAAAAGTGCCCTTTTTTAATCTCTAGTAAGTGTCCCTTTTCACTTTTGATAAGCGCCACCTTCACCTCTGATAATTGCCCAATTCAAATCTAAGAGTTGCCCCTTTTTCCTTTGACAAGTGCCCCTTTTCCTTTGTAAGAAGTGCCCCTCCCCCTTTTAATAACTACCCCTTTTTAACTCGGATAAGCGGACCTTATATGTTCACATGTGCCACCTTTCCTTCCTAATAAGCGCCATTTTTCCTTTTGATAAGTGCCCCATTTAAACAAGGAGCCCTTTTCCCTTCTCGTAAATTCCCCTTTTCATGAATGCCACTTTTCACCTATGAAAATATTTCCTTTTCATTCTCATAAGTGCCCATTTTCATCTCTTGTAAATGACCTTATTCAATTCTGAGAGATACTCGTTTTACTTTGACAAGTGCCCCTTCCCCTCCTGATAAGTGCTTTTTTTTTCCATCTCTAATTAATGCCCCTTCTACTTTGACACATTTCCCTTTTCCTTCCTAATAAACGTTCTTTTTCCTTCTTATAATTGCCCCTTTTCATCTCTGATAAGTGCCCCGCTTATTTGAACATGTGCCTCTTTCTCTTTTTAATAAGAGCCACTTCCCCCTTCTCATAAAAGCCCCCTTTCACTTCCGATAAATGTGCTTTAATATAACCCCATCAGGATTGGGTTTTTCCTCTTCATAAGATGTAATTTTTTGCACTGCGACCTCACAAATCTTACATTTTTTCCTCGCTCGCAAATGAATTTTCAGATCATCACACCCAACTGCAAAGTATGATGCTTAAGCAATATCTTATATGATGTCTAAAGAAAAAAAGTAATCGAAATCATCCATGATAATGTAATCACAATATAGGGGTATGTACCAATGTCTAAAAAAAAATGGATATTTTCGCTTTGAGATTCCGGTTTGAAGGTGCCCTTTTTCCAAGAAAGTGCTCTTTTATAGGTGCCCCCCTCCACTTTAGAAGTCGTTCCGCCGCCTCTGACAAGAGCTATATAAATCCGGATTAATATTTTCACATGTATATACCTGCCACTTTATCGAGAGTGTCGAGGATCCCATCAATGTCTCTGATCTTAGCGAACACGACCCGATTGTTGAAGTTGTCTAACCCTTGGAACGATATATTGAGTTCCCTGCGCTTGATCTCTGGTATCCTGTAACCGAGTAACCTGTTACATTCTATCAAGGCTTCTTTAGCCCTGAGAGAGTAGAAACAGGGACAAAATGGTTACAAACGTACATTCCAACACTCAATACCATGACCGTTACAGCATTTGTTTGAGACTTGAGCCTGCAAAAAATATTATATAACCATGATTCTGGTGGCGGAACCAAAGCCTTGTTTTTAATGACAACATAAGTGTAATATGCTTTGTATCTGTAATTTCTGTATCCTGTAACACGGCACTAAGCAAAAGGCCTAGTTGCCATTTATGTACACATAATAAAGGAAATTGTGTCATATCTGAACGACCCTTAACCCTAATGAGGCCGGGGGGGGGGCATAATGGTCCCCCTCCAGAATTTCTGTAACGCTTAAAATTGCCCTTCTGACCTGTCTCTGCTCTCATCACTATTTTTGTATGAAATCATTATTTAGACTTAGGCGCAAAAGGAACCTTATAGGTCCCATGGATAATAACTAGTACCAGTGAGTCAATGGACCAATGTGTATGTCCATAGTACCGTCAAACCTGCTTTAGTTCAAACGCCCACTGCACTACTTGTAGCTACTTGCTCCCTCTATGTAACAAACAGGCCTAATCGGTGACCATTGGTCCCCCATGATCCTCTTTTTCTTATGTTAACTGAGAGCTGAGTTGATGAGATAACCACCTGTCCAGTGACCTTGCTGGGCGGTCTAATCCCTCCTGTAAACTAGTACTGGTAAGGTTTAAACGAATATCTTACCTGTCTACATCATCATCAGTAGCTAGATGCATGACCATAATGGTAAGATGAAGCGATGGTATAGGAACCATAGCTTCCCTCAACCTCGTATCTCCATCCACCATTGTCTGCTGGACATTGTGGAGGGCTTCGTGAATCTAGATGTGACACAGGAGAGAGAGAGAGAGGGAGAGAGAGAGAGAGAGAGAGAGAGAGAGAGAAGAAAAAATAATTTCAGACGTTCATTTCTTTTCCAATCAATAGACAAGATACAGAAAAGGAGAACCTACTAGTCCTGTGTATAACTCACCTTGGTGATCCAGGGGGAGAGCAGGCCTCTCCCCCCCCCCCCCCGCAAAAAAGAGAGAGAGAGAGAGAGAGAGAGAGAGAGAGAAGGAAAAGAAGGGAAAGAGGAGAAATAGGGAAAGAAAGAAGAGGAAGAAGAAAAGAAAAGGGGAAAAAAAAAAGGGGGGGGGGGGGGGGGGGGGGGGGGGGCAAAAGGGCCTTGCCTCCCAGCTGTTACCTCTCCCCCCCCCCCCCCCCCCCCAATCCATCAAAAAATAAGAGAGAAGGAAGGAAAGGGAAAAGAGGAGATAAAGGGAAGGAAAAAAGGAAGAAGAAAAGAAAAGAAGGGGGATCTCAGTTGCAATTTTCCCGCCAACAAGTTGTAGTTCGGGGGGAAGGCCCTTGCCTCCCCACCCCCCCCTCCCAAAAATAAGGAGGGGAAGGAAGGGAAAGAAAAGGGAAAGAGGAGAGAAAGGGAAAGAAAAAAAGAGAAAGAAGAAAGGTAGGGGAGATCAGTTACGATTTTTTTTCCCGCCAACAAGACATTAGTCGCAGATCGGGGGGGGGGCACTGGCGTACTGATGGGATGGGGGTGGGGGTGGGGGCTTGGAGGGGGTGACAAATACCCCCAAAATATAATTCAAACGTGGTTTATTTCTAATTCGGTACCGGTGATTTACAAATGTTGCTGAAATTTCCGAGATTTTTCCTCAATGTTTAGTCAATTATACTTTTGTATGCGTTTGTTGGAAAATGGCAATTCATAAAGAAAGCCTTTGTAACACAAAATAAGGAGTCCAAATATGCTCATCTGACAGTGATTAAATGCCTAAAACCCCTGAGCATCCGGGGGCTCTGCCCCTGAACCCCACCAGGGCCCTAAGGCGGGCACCTGGATGCTCATCTGATGGTAATCTAATGAAAAAAACCTTTGAGCCCCTGGGGAATCCGCCCCCTGGATCCCACACCAATTAGTGACCTGTCAGTGTCACAAATAAAGTATCAAAATAAACTCATCTGACCGTAATTTATTGCCCAAAACCCCTGAGCTTCCGGGGGCTCCGCCCCCTAGACCCCACGCCTATTCGTGATCTGTCAGTGTCGCAAATAAGGTATCAAAATATGCTCACCTGACGATAATTTAATGTATAAAACCCCTGAGCTTCCGGGGGCTCCGCCCTCTAGACCCCACGCCTATTCGTGACCTGTCAGTGTCACATAAAAGGTATCAAAATATGCTCATCTGACGGTAATTTAATGTATAAAAAACCCCGAGCTCCTGGGGGCTCTGCCCCCTGGACCCCACGCCAATTCGTGACCTGCCAGTTTCACAAATAAGGTATCAAAACATGCTCATATGACCGTTATTAAATGCCTAAACCTCTGAGCTTCTGGGGGCTCTACCCCTTGACCCCCTCATTTCGCCACTGCCGGTGTCACCATTATGTACAATATTTGGCTCGCATAATTTCAAATTTGCCCCCCCCCCCCCTAAGAAATCCTGGATCCGCGCCTGCCTTGGTTTGCTGTGAAGTGGCATGGTTTAAAATTATTGTTTAAAGACATTGTTTAACAATGTTTCCAGTTTTACAAATATGAGATGCGATAGTGTGATAAGATGTTCCTTATGAACATCAGCTTATTTAATCATATTGGTTACATGCCCCCCCCCCCCGCCACAAACACACCCTTTATCCGCAAATGATTACTGAAAGACTCCATAAAACACCAGCTCTTTCTCACCTCAGGACTGCCCACCTGGATGGCAACAAAGTAGTTTGGTCTGCGCTCCCCGGTCGCCACTTGAAAGACAGTGATGATAAACATTGAAATACAATGATAACAGTTGAAGAACGTTCGCTTATCACCCCATTTTTGTATGGGAACCAGGGGGTGTTTCACAAAGATCCTAAGTTAAACTTTTCTCTAAGTTGGACTTAACATTCATGGAAAGCCATTAGCATCTATGAAAATATTTGTAAAGGTTATTTTAAAAGGCATAGAATGTTGATTCAAATCATTCATATTTTCTATTATCAAGGAGATTTCATGTTCTTGATGTGGAATTTATTTTTTTTAAAGTAAAAAATACTTGGATTTTCGCTTTTGAATATATTTTATTTTAAAGCTATAAATGGCTCTCCATAATTTGTAAGTCCAACTTAGAGTTAAGTTCAACTCAGGATCGTTGTGAAACACCCCCTGGTGTCACATTCTACCGGTATGCGTAATATTTTTTTTGTACCTCTTTCATTTCCCTTGAAAAAAATATTAAATAAGATATATTTCTTTGATACTTCACTTTTTTAATATCCACTCAACAATATTAAATATCACAAGTACATGTAGAAAGCACCTTTACAAAAAATGCACAACAAATAAATGCTGCAGACGACATAACATGTGGACCAAACCGGCTTGCCTTTATAGCTGAGGCAGTAAGCCGTACTTAATTAATGAAAGGTCATTGTGAATATGCATATCAAGTCGATAGTATGTCAAAGCTTTAGATTTCAATTTTTCAAAGAGTTATTACTCCTCTGAAAGACACTATAATAGCATATAATTTATATTATTATAATGGCTTTAAGAGTACAAGTCCACTCCAAAAATAACTTACTTTCAATAGAAGCAGAAAATCAGACAAACCAATCAAAACAAGTTTGAGCAAAATGAACTCGTCCAATCATTCACATTAGAGTCAACAGGTCCGAAACATCTGAAATTTAAAAAAAAAACAAGGTCAAATAAGCTCAATGGTCCTTTGGCAAGTGATGCGGATTTTTTTTCTTTCTGCCCCCCCCCCAAGCATTTTGGCTTATTGCGCCACTGGTCCCTCGCATTTCGTCACCCCCCGCCCCCCCCCCCCCCCCCCCCTCCGGTCATGAAAAGAAATAGCCGCCCCTGTTAATAGTACAAGCATGTTCCTTTTTCTGTCTGCGAATTTCAGGCCCATTGTATTATTTTCATCTTTTTCTACATCAACCCGAATCCGCTGTGTACAAGCTTATTTCTTTCATTGAGCGCCCAATGCCATCATAGTATTTTCACTCATAGTAAAATAGTGATCGATTTAAAGGGATAGTTGAGTTCTTGTTTAAGACCGCAAATGCCTTCAAAGAGCACGGTTATTGCTCTTATTCTTGTTTTTGACATTTCTAATGCCCTTTTAGGATATTTCAAACCCCAAAATATGTGAAATTTTAGATTAAATCCGATCATACCAATTCAGCTCCACCTAAAAATAGGTGACCGCTAATTTCGAACAGGTGCATTTTCAATACACGGGTCGGCTGGTAAAAGCCAACAAAAATCTAACAAAAAGCCAACATTGGCATTGGCTGGAATAAAACGTATAAGGCGCTATCTCGTTTTTCAACGGCTGGTTCAAAATTATCGAATATAATTTTGTGGGGGCCCACATAATTGAAATGGTTATATTTGTAACACTTCAGCCATCTCTGAACCGATTTTGATCAAACAAAGATGATATTGTCATTTAATCTATATGCTCTTTCAAAATAATTTACCACTCAGTTTTGAATTATCTCACCCTAAAAAATATTGCGTGTATAGCGCCCTCAATACCAAAACTCAACTATCCCTTTAATGAGAGTAAACTCATGAATCTTCTGTAACATTTCATTGCGGTGTCTAGTAGACGAATTAAAGTGTTAAACATCTAATGAAGAAATGGAACCTTAGGAGAGGAAAATGGCCGCGTTTCGCATGTGGACGTGATTTGCGTCGAGAGCAGTTTTGAGCAGAATTTTATCACCGGTGACGAATATGTGTGACTTATAAACGGTAAATTCTATCAATTTCAACTCTTCTGTGATACTGTGTTAAACTTATAGTCAATATTACGAGCAGATTTATGCGTAATCATGGAGAATAACTCGCCACTCAGTAAGAAACTAAAGTTGAACAATGAGCACGCGGACTCAGCAGTTCCTCACCAGGCTTCCCCGGCAACCGCCGGGAACGTTACAGTGTGCGACCCCCCAGCGAAACGGAACATTCTCTCATCAGTTTCCCACTCTACCCCAGCGGCAGTAGCCGACCTATCAATGAACAAGCCACCACAATGGTTCGTACAATTCTTTGCTGATTTTGAGAATAGACAAGAGGCTCGTATTGAGTCACTTCTCGACAAAAAACTGGGTGACCTTACTTTTAAAGTCGCAGATCATGAAGAGAAGATCAAATGTCTGTCTTTTGAAGTTGATAATATGAAAGATGCTGTACAGGCCTTGCAAATAGAGAATGGAAAGCTGGAAAGCAAGTTAGACGATCTTGAAAATCGTTCTAGAAGAAATAATCTCGTAGTCTTTGGGATCCAGGAATCAGATAACAAGGAAGACTGCAGGAAGGTGATTCAAGATTTCATGCGTTTTGCAGAGGTGCCTGAGGATGTTATCAAGGATATTCAACGATGTCACCGTACACCATCATTTCGGCCCCAGGTAAAGGAGAATTCTCAACAATATCCCAGGAGGATCCACTTAGGTTTTGGCGCCTACACTGCGAAAGAGAGGGCCCGAAAAGCCTGCATTAAGAAGCTTAAGGCTACTACATCATTATACCAAGACCACAAGGTTTTCGTTGCGGAGGATCTCTCGCAACGTGTTCTCCAACTCAGAAAAGCTAAGGCTGGTTCATTCAAGCGTCTCAAGGAAGAGGGCAAAAGGCCTTTTTTCGTTTTTCCGGACAAGTTATGTCATAGGAATCCAGATGGAAAGATGATCATCGCTTAACTTTCTGCTGTCCTCCTTTTATGGGATAATATCATTCATGTGACATTCCAGTTTCATCCCTGATTATTATGTTTGTTTTATGACGTTCTGCTGAAGAATTCCTATATAGGTCTATGGAGATACACGTAGGTGTGAATTAATTGCTTCTGGCTATTTCACCGTGGAGTCTACAGCACTCAACATTTTTTATTCATCACATTATTTGAAAGTTTCTTACTTTGTTTGGAGAATATACATCCGTACGTTCATGTCATCTGTACAAAAGAACTTGCATTAACAAGCTAGTTGACAGTAACTTGGATGTTATTGACAGATGTCTAACTCTCCTTTATTTGGTGAGGGTGAACTTTTAAACATATAAGAGTGTAATTTAAGTTTATTTTACAAGATGTGGAGTTTAAGTGGCCCTGGTCAGTTACAATTTACAACAGTATAAAAGTTCTGTGCCATTTTCATTTTGTCTGTAATTCTTACTGTTTCTCCCTCTGACTCCAACAACACAAGACATTTTTTGTTATATGTTTGCAGAATGCTCTTTTCCTAGTTAGATTGGGAGTTCGAAAAGTCACTTTACCCTTTTTTCTGCTCAGAACTGTTCTGCATGCCTTTGCACTTTTGGTTTGGGCTGTTTTATGATTTGAAGCCTTTGCCGTTCGTTCTCGTGCAACCTTTTTCTCTTTTTTATTGTCTTAATCTTGTCGTTTTGATGATGCTTACATCTACATGTATGTCAATTACTTTTTTAATTTCAAATGATCATGCAGCAATCAGTATTTTGCAGCTTTGTTACATAGGACTGGTTTTTATGACCACAATTCTTATTTCAGTGTTATCTTCATCTACAAGTGTAGTGATTTGGTGTGTATTTATGTGTATATACCATGAATGTTAGGTTAGCTACTTTTAATTGTCGGGGTATACAAGATCATGTCAAAAGAAGAAAAAATTTTCATTACTTAAGATCAATTAATAGTGACATAATATTTTTACAAGAAACTCACTCTTCTAAATCAGATGAACAATTTTGGAAACAACAATGGGGTGAAAAAGCATGGTTTTCTAGCCACGCTTCAAATAGTAGAGGTGTAGCCATTTTGATTCGAAATCGGGTGTCATTGGTCCTTAACTCTTCTTTTATTGACCCCGATGGGAGATACCTGATTTTATCTGTTACCATTAATGAGGTACCTGTGATTTTAGTTAATCTCTATGGTCCAAATAATGATGACCCCAATTTTTTTCTTGAAGTTTTCAGTAAAGTGGATAAACTCGATTACACCTCCATTCTATGCGCTGGGGATTTTAATGCTGTTTTGGGGCCCATGGATTATCAAGGGGGTAGGGACACCCACTCAAATTTCAAATCAAAGGAAATGTTAATAACACTTATGGATGAATTTAATCTTTGTGACATTTGGCGCAGTTTTCATCCAAACCTGAAGCAATATACGAGACATCAAAAAAACCTAGAGTGTTATCCAGGATTGATTTCATTCTTGTTTCTGATAATTTTGTTACCAATTGTTTGCAATCTAAAATAATCCCAGGAATCCAATCCGACCATTCCCTTGTTACATTAAATTTTAAAGGTGCTCAACCACTAAGGGGCCGAGGATTTTGGAAACTGAATTGCAAATATTTACATAATGATGCAGACTTTAGTAGAATTATCATTGACAAAATAGAAGATTTTAAATTAATTCATTCCAAAAGCGATTGCAATCCAAATATTTTATGGGACTCTTTAAAGTGCACCATTACTGGCATTTGTATAGAATATTGTACACGTAAAAAGAAGGAAAAGGATTTTGCAAAAAAATACCTTTTGGCGGAAATAGAAGATATAGAGAAAAAATTAAGTGCTGATTTAAATAACAATGAGCTTATTAATGAAAAGGATTTTTTAACCCAGGCTTTAAATGATATTTTAGATGTGGAAACCAAAGGTTTAATTATTCGCTCACGACTTCGATGGGCTGAAGAAGGAGAAAAAAGCTCCAAATATTTTTGTAATTTAGAAAAAAGAACTGGAGAGAAGAAAAGTATTTTCAAATTAAAGAA